CTGCTGGTGAGTGCCCCAGCCCATCCCCTTGTTGCTTGCTTTGATCAAATGCTGCCCTTCCCCTTCCTCACCCGGATTCGGCCTGGTGTGCTGGTTGCTAAATGAGAGCAAGGCAGGATGCAGCCCCAGGGAACTTGCTGTATCCACAGACGGAGAAGGAGGAAGTTTTATCTGCCTGTCCTGGCTCAGCTGAAGTCAGGCAAGTCCACTGTGGAAGAGCTGGGGATTGAGACCAGATCCATCCTTATCCCTTCATCCTCACATCCCTGGTGTTTCTTCTCCTTTCTTCCCAGCTCGCAGGCAGCAGGGTGTGCAATTGTGCCTTTCCTTGTGGCACTGAAGGCTACCAGGCTTCTCCAGCCTGTGGCCTCTTGTGCCCAGCCCTGCAGGTGTAGGCAGGACCCCTGGGGACAACATCCCCAAGTCCCCTGTGGTCTGAGCACCCTGAGGCACATGGGGCCCCAGCTGGGTGCTGGAGGCAGCAAGGCTGTGGCAGCCCCCTCCTCTACATTGGACTAGCCTCAGAGCTGTTTCTTCATTAATTAATGGCAAGTAATTAATTAACAAGTGGCCTGTGTGTGCAGGAGCTGTGGCAGCAATACCAGAGGAACTGCAACACCAGACACTTGCAGAGAGAGTGTGTGGCAGCTGAGGTGCTCCCTCAGGAGCCGGGGCCCCTTACCCTGTTTGCTTGGTGAACCCCTACCCCCTCACCCCAAAATGGGCCCAGGGAGGGGGTGCTCAGCACCTGCTTGTCAGCTGCTGAGCTGCAGCCTGGGGATTCAGCCAGCAAAGAGGTGGCCTCATGGTGCTCACCTGGCTCCCCAGCACTGTGGGGAATCATTAGTATATGCAAATATAGTTAATTTAGTGGCTTAATAGGGATTTCCATCATGTGGGCTTATGGCTTCAACTTTCCTGAGCTTATGAAGAAAGGGCACTGCCCTCTTTCCTTTAGCTGTGCGGGTAAACACACAGCATCTAGGCAGGATTAATGAGGTACAATGTGCATATTTATATTTGTGTGTATATATGTATATAAAAATAAGCATATACACATTTGCAACATAATTTGTAATTAATGTTACTGCATCTGTTATACCTACAAATAAATCTTATCAAACTAAAAATATGTATTCAAAGTATTAGTGTTGTATCGGCAAGATGGGCAAGCTGAAGTGAAACGGAAAGACTTGACTCAAAACGGCTGTTGTGGCACTGGGGAGCATTTGGTGGCAAAGGGTGGCGCTGCTCAAATGCCAGGCAGGAAGAGAGACTTTCTGTCAGAAGTCTGCCTCCACAGAAATCATCAATATGTATACAGTTAGACACAGATATTGCACACATCTATGTATGTATATATGGCTGGATCCATATGTACATATAGGTATATGCACATACGCTATATATACTTCCTCTATAAACACAGTATAATGTATATACTGTGTCATGTTTGGTACAGTTGTATAAGGTCTATGTATAGTTGTATAATAGTGTATATAGAATATATACTTATATATATGAGTGATTGTGCACAGTGTATTGCATGTGTTCTACTACTGTAGATCTAATGTGTGTGTATATTACAGAATATACAGATAAATGTGTATACTTTTTATATAATACATCCATGCAAAGTGTGTATGTACATATTTATACATCATGCGCACATACACATGCATCTAATTTGCACTAGCAGATGTTGGCCATGTTCAGCTGAGGAGGAGGGGGGGGGTGGAGGTGGCCAGGGCTGTTGAGGATGGTGTGAGCACCCCTCCGGCTGGCTGTGCACGTGTACGCACACGCAGCTCAGGCCCTGCCTGGCCACCTCATCGTGGGGCAATGTGATATTTAACCCAAGGCAGGGGGGAGTGAAAAGTCAACCCCACTTCTCTTTCGGCAAGACCACCATGAGGGAGGGAGCCAGCTCAGGGCTGCTGGGACAGGGGGCAGGGCCATTGCTGCTGCCCAGCCACTACTGTCCTGAGCTGAGCCACCCTTAGCAGTGTCACACATGTAACAAAAACTGCCACCAAACACCTGCAGTCAAAATAGTTTTATTTTCTTGTTTTATACAAAATACAAAATGTATGTTTGTTGATCCATTTATATTAAAAAAGACATTGTAGATTCAAATTAAACTTGCTTACAGAAATCATGTAAACATAGACCCGAGCCCCTATTTGCTAAGGTTTCATTAGCTGCGGAATACCCTGGCTGCATGACAGTTACCCATTGCTTTTGTACAGCAAATGCAGCTGAAAAAGTGATTAGTCAGGCACAACCCTCCCCTTCCTCCCCCCCCCCATACTGGCTTCTGTACTCCAACCAACTCAAATATTTATTATACACTGTTATTTGCATAAATATATGTTTGATGTATATACCTAGCCATATACTAGGAGATGGTTCACCACTGCATGCAGGTGTCCAAAGGGAGGCACGAGGATCACTTTGAACATACAAGGTCCAGCAAGTGTGCAACACCCGGTGCTGCGAGTGACTGTATGGGTTGGTGAGACTCGACTGCCCCTCCCCTCCCCCCCAGTAGCTGGGGATGTGGATCCACTCCCATCTCCAAGGGCAAGAGCTTCTTACAAGTTTTCCATGAATCTTCTTAATGTGGGGCACTAAGCCACGCGGGGGTGGAGGTGGGCTGTTCGCAGTTGGACTCTCAGAGCCAATTTATGTGTCTCGCAGCCCAAGCAAAGCGCCTTAGACACTGCACCCTGTGACGGTCAAAGGCAACAATACCTTAGTAACCCCCTGAAGGAGAAACAGGAGGAGACCAGGAAATACTGCTTAGCCGTCACCCTGGCTCGCTCTCACTGTGCATCTCTGCTTGTTTTCTCCTGCTTGATGTAGCCATCGCAGGCTATGAACATGAGCACAATTAATTAAGCTAGTATGATTGATACACCGGGCACACTCTGCCCCGCTTATTCCCCTTCTATCCACTGTGGGTTACTTTGTACTTTCCCAGTTATTGAAGCAGTGCAACCTTTGTTTTTTTGACACAGCCTGTGACAATTTCCATTGTTTTTTTTTTTTTTTTTTTTTTTCTTTTTTTTTTTTTTTTTTTTAAAAAAGTGGCAAGGAAGAGGAGTTTCTCACAGCCAGCTGAGGCTGGGCTAACTTCATTACCCCTTTCTTTTTAAAAAAAAAAAAAAGCTGAAGTGCAGTTGAGCACCATTGCAAAACCAACAGCAACACTTACTTGCTTTCAGTAGGGCCAGGATTTCACCCACTGCACTTACAGAGAATAAGCTCCCAAGCTTTTTCAGTAGTTGCACTCTCAATTTACCATTTTATGGCTGGAAAACAGTTGTTTTATGCATTGATTATAAGTTTGCAAGGGAAATCCCCTAGAGAAACAGCTCTCCTCCACCCCGGAAACCCTCCAGACCCTGTTTACCAGAATGTCATCGCATTTAGCATTAATAGAGCTCACGCCCTCCTAAGCAGGGACCACAGAGGCAGCAAGTAAGAAAAGCAGCTACTCTTCAGAGGAGTGAGAGAGGGATTTAGGTTTCTCTCCATACACGTAAATTTCGCAGTCATACGAGTATCACAAAATGCACGGCGAAGGGTTTGGAAGAGCTGAGCCCTGGCAAGCCCTGGTACACGTACCAAGTACATGTCTCATACCAAGGGTTGGCCTCCTGCTGGAGGCTGTGAACTCCAGCAGCTACAGGGTAAGGCTCCGGCATGGATCCACGCGTGAACCACTGGACTGTTTCCCAAGGGCAAATGAACATCACTTCCCAGTGCACAATCATGACATCGGCCCAGCCCCGGAGGCATGCAACAGCGGCACGGCCCAGGTTTCACTCTGGTTCTGCTGACGCTCCTGGTGCTAACAGCACTTCTTTTGTAACACATGCAGGGGATATTGCTGGAATCGGCGTCCTCTGCCAAACCAGAACGCACTTTGTAAGTGCACCCAGTGGGATAGGGTCTTTTTGCCCTTCAGGAATATGACAGCATCCAGCCATAGGAAGGAAGTGAGTCACCACTTCCACCGAGTTATCCCACACTCGAGGGTCAATGAATGCATCACTTGTTACAGTTTTCAAATGCAACATTAACTTCCCCATCTGCACCTGAACAAGCAAATTCCCCTCCTATGTCTTGGCTTAGAGAAACAAGCCTGGACCCAAATGCCTTCCCCAACAGCCAGAAGTCCTTGGATCCCTTCCCCAAGAGGTGGGAAACAGTGAAGCCGAAGTAAGCTGAAGAACAAGCTGAAGTACAACCCCGCAACCTGTATGTACACCAAGCACCAGCTGGTCTCACGCATGACAAAACCCATGCTGGGTGCCCAGCCGCTGGCAGCTGTGCTGCTGCGCAGTTGCCGCCAGCCAGCAAGGGCCACCGGTGGCAAGGGCAACAGCGCAGCCCCGGGACGGCCCTGCTGACCAGCCAGCACTCCAACCCCAGCACTGGGCCAGCGGCTGGCACGGCCCCACCAACAGGGTGAGCTTCGCCTCCGAGCACCACGGGGACAGCCGCAGGCTACAGCCTGGCTCTTGCCTCGGCAGCTCGTTTCACGCGCCGGTGAATCACCAATTTGCAAACATCTCCAAAGAGGACTCGGGAAGCACCTCAGGCTGGAGGACATCTGGCAGCACTTACGCTCTGAAACTTGCCCGTACCAGGAATAACAACTGATGTCTTAGCAGAATGATTAAAAGATAAGATGCTTTAATTTCACTGCCTTTAACATAAACATCCATTATTTGACTGTTTACTCAGGAGTAAACAGAGTAAAACCAAATGCAACTCGTAAGAATGACAAGTTTTTCCTCTATCTTTAACTCTTGCAATCTCATTTTGTCCACAACCCGTTCATCGTCATCGTTTAAATAAACCGATAGCGCAATGTGGTAACACAGAGACATGCGTGTCTGAAATGGCCCCAGTGGATGGGAAGCCCAACCGACCGTACTGCCATCCTACAGCAGACAGTTTGTTCTAGCGACATGGAAACAGGTTGTCTTATACTAACAGCTTATTTATATCACATAAAGTAGATTTTTGTACAGTACTTCACACCTTTTAACACCACAGTCTTGTATTTAATGTTCTCCAGTCAATAGTCATTGATGTTGGCATAGACAAATCATCAAACAAAACGCACAGATGTCGCTTGGACTGACTTAGAGGAGTGTGGTGGGGCAAACATAATTTCTGGCTATTTGTGGTTAGTGGGAAGTCAAATCACCTGTGGGAGATACAAAGACAACATTTTAGTGCTCAGGTCTTAGAGCCCTCCTCCTGTGCAGGCCTGGGAGAGGGAAGTCACAGCATCTGCAAACCCAGGACAGAAAACTGAGCATTTGTATGTGTCTTTCCAGGACTGGAATTTTAAAATTCACTTCTTCTCTACGATGGTCTTTCCTAGCAGTCGTTCCCTTTGCACCTAGGCGGATGATGGTTTGTTTGGGTTTTTTTTGCCATGGGGAAAGACTTGAACAGTTTAAAAAGAGAGATGGCTAGGTGTCGTTTTTTTTCTTTTAATGTACAATCTCAGTTAACAGGTTTTGTTACTTTTAGCTTTCCAAGTTCAAAAATATAAACTCTCTAAAGTGCATAATTGTACTTACATTTCATATAAACTATCTGAAATTCTAGCAATATACCATGTAAACAGCGGTAACTAAGCATCAGAAAATGCTACAATCTCATCAGTTTAAAAATAAAATGGACTGTTCCCTACATATCATTTATCAAGATTTGTCAGGGGCAAAACCCAGCAAAACAGGTAATTTATCAGTACACAGTGCAAACAGGCTTTTAAAAATAAGCAGAGAAAACATACTCCTGGGAAGCCTTGGCCCACTGGAAAAATGTATGACTATGAAGAAAGGGCAGAAACTGCTTCTCTTGCCCATATAAAGATGTCCAGGCCCAGATTCAGCAAAGCGCCCAAGCTTTAGTCCGTCGTAATTCAGCAAAACCCCAACTGCGGACCAGCTTGAGGCACACGCTCACCACGCGTGCTTTGCTGAACTGCGCCTGAACAGTATCAAACCGAGCCAGCGCTAAGGACTTTTTCGTAACCCAACATCCTTTCCCATCCCACACTTCTGAGAGTAGAGTGACACCGCAGCCAGCTTGGCTCAGCTGCTGTATCTAAAATAACGAGGGAGAGCTGACTGTGGACTCTGAGAGGAAGAGCCCGTAAGAGCAGGCTGAAGGGACAAAGGCACAGCTCTGTTTCCCTGGGCTGCCCTGTGTTCAGACAGCGGTTTACCCTGGTCAGGCTTCTCTTCCAGTCAGACATCTTCAAAAGCAGTTTTTGGGCCCATTTGTCAGCCCAGTTAACACACTCAAAGGATCAGCTTTGCAGAGGCAGAGCCCCACGTGGCGGGGGGGGGGCAAGTGATGGAAACTCAGCATTTCTGAAAAGCCAAGCCCCAGGTCAGCACACAAGTCCTCTGGACTCTTTGGAAATACAAAATTCAGTCTTCACCGATTTTATATAGAAAGGGCAATTCTGCAATCAGTTAAAAAAAAAACCAAGCCAACCTGGGAGTACCCCTCCTAAGTGCTTTCACTAACTAACATACATCACTGCCTTAACCCACCCAGACCGGTAATGGGCATGTCCAAACCCACTGGGAGAAGGTTGCCTTTTGAAGTGTTTATGGGATCCTGAAGAGACCAAAACACCCTCAGCATCAGTTTTGGCAAGAATTAACATAGCACACACAGCAAGTGGAAGGGGGTAAGTCTAAGTACCACAACCCAAATATATCTATTTGTGAGCCCACTTGCCCAGCTAAAGAAGGAAGGGGGAGAAGCTGTTCTGGGGGTCCTCTTCTTGCTGCCTCCGGCGTGACTTGCGTGAGGCCTGTCTATGACAACTGGCACTGCATTTGATCTCAGCCACTTCACTTCTGCACATTAACTCCCTGGGGCATCAACGCAGAAGAAAGCGCTACAGAAATGCTCTCCCTGGCAGAGCGAGTTGGTGCACACAAGCCTCTGGAGTGGGAAAGCGAGCCCAGATGGCCCGGGACTGCAGAACTGTGAGCCCTCAGCTACTCGGTGCGTTTCTGAACTTGCTGCCTTTCACTCCTTCAGGCAGCATCTGTCTGACACGAGCACCTGAATTAGGTGTCCCAGGACTTTCTTTTTGGAAAGTCATAAACTAATTTGAAAACATTGAATTGTCAAAACTTGCACCTGAGACACAGGCCCTTTCTATAGGCAGAGCATGGCTCTAGGCTTTCAGTTCCCTGCAGTGTCCTCTGCGCTGGTATACCACCAATACACACCAGGAAGAAAAGACCATCCTCTGTTGCCACCATCACAGTCATTGCTGCAGCCCACATAGTCCGATTGACAGTGTACATAAAAGAACAAAATTTAGGCTAGCGAGTATGTATGACACCCACATGGGCTGTTCAGCTTGGACTCTTAGGTCTGTATCAGATGATGAAGCACACGTACTAATGGGGTGGGTCTTCCAGGTATCTTCCAGATACTTGACACCAGACATTTAACCGATCAGCTACCAAAATCCCAAGGGTTTCTGACTTAAAGCTTTTAAAACCTCTTTTCCTCCCAGTTGCCTAAACATGGTCATAATGTTACAGTATCACCTTCCAAGCGAAGCAAGCCGGCAAGAACCTTGCTGCACGGCTCGTTTTCTTTGCTATCCCAAACAGATGAAAGTACCTTCTTCTACTTCAGTCAAATTGGCCACGAAAGAAGTGGGAAGAAAACCCAACTCAAGCCTAGGCAAAACTGTAACTCACACCAGCCCTGGGTGATGACCGGGAGATTCTTACAGTATTTATTTAGAGCAACAGAAGATGCTGGACTCCAAACAGTCCGGTCAAAAGTCTGAGCCAATCTTTACTGTAGCTACATGAGAACAGTCTTGGCGCTATCTGACCTGTGCCTTCACATGAGATCAGTCAGGGCACTTGTCTGTTAAACTAAAGTAGAAGCTATTTGATGATTTAATCACTATTCATCCTACTTTGCCTCTTGCTATGATATCCTGGGAAAAAAGAGAATAGCATGGCTGGCTTTGATATTCTAAATATTACAGGATCTGTAAGCAAATCAAAACAGAAAGATCCCTTCAGTGAAATCACTGAGCGCAGCGTCATGTCTCCTACACTGGCAAACTCCATTTTGGGCATCAGGCCTGGAGAAAGAGTGGGCAACAGCAAGTGTAGTGTGATGGAAAGCCACCTTTCCTCCCTCCCGCCTCTGGGAATGGCCCTTCAGTTCCCAGGGAGCTCCTCAGCTCTCCCCAGCCAGGCTCCCGCTGCATCCACTTCATGCGTTTGTCCATTTGGTGCTCTCTCCTCTTTGTTTACTGGCAAAAACAATCTCCTCCTTTACATGATCTTGGAGCTAATATCTCTTTTACTGATCAGGACCTCCAGCAGCCTCAGCTTGGCCTTAATCTGCTTGTATTCATTGTATTCTTCAGCCATAGGAGCGCGGTCTTCTTTCTGCACGTTCCTAGTGGGAGTGAAAGCAGATCGTGAGGATTTCTGTAACAGGACGTCTTCCCTCAGCAGCCTCCCTCCATCCCCCAACAAGACCTACAAAGGAGCTCCTCTCCTCCACTCCCCATCAGGGAACAAACCCAAAACTTTTATCCTTTGAGAGGGAAAAAAAGAAGAAAAAAAAAAAAAGAGGGGCAAACAAACTGCTCCAGCAAAGTGTGGGACGCTTGCATATTGAGGCTGAACACAATCCCATGGTTCCAAACGCAAAACCTTATTTGAAGCATGTCCTACTTCTCTGAAATTGCCAGCCTCTACGCAACAGCTGAAACACATTTCAGGAGCCATCTGAATGTCAGCCTGCTAGCATGGCAAAATAAGATACAGCTTCTCCTGGCTTGGAACCACATCACTTACGTGAACAAGCACACTTGTGAAAAGGAAGATGATACCTGATCAGATTTCTCTTAGCTTACATGAAACTTTTAAGTTTTCAGTGATTTTACAAGAACCTCTCAGGATGATGGCTGGTGGCAAGAAACTAACAAGATAATTTAGGAGTATAAATATATTAAAACATTCTATCAGCTCATTAATGAGGGACATTCTCTGAAAACGATAAACCCAGCTACACTAAAGCAGAAATACTTGTTAAACTAGTGTCTGAATACCTCACAGACAAGCAAGAATAGGACAGCAATCTAAACATACATCATTAGGAAAAAACCCAATTATTCTATCACTGAGAAACTCTTCCATCATTCCTGTCAGCTGCGCTAAAGGCAGCTGGCTTTTCACAATCTGTACTCCTGCTTCCCACTGCTTGTCCTAAGACAAAGTTTTCAAGGAGGCTGTGGTCCCCGAAGTTCTTTTGAGGGGGGAGAAGTAATTCATTTTAGTGGGCAACTGTAATGAATGTGGGTAAAACACTGATGATGATGGGAAGAAATATGTAATAGTGAATTCAGGTAACTTTCCATATTTAGAGGTCTTTGTAGATGCCAAACAGATCAGAAGTAGTTGAAGGACAGAGAGACAGCTGAGAAATTATTACCTTCCATTTTGTCGGAAAAAATTATCTTCAAAGTCTCTCAATTTTTTTCTGATTCGCTTTTTCTCTTCCCTGACTTCTTGGAGCTGCTCTAAGAGTTCAGGGCTGTTTAGTTGAAATATAAACAAGATTATACATATGTACACAATTATAACAGGAAACATACAGTAAACCTACAAATGTATGGTAGCAGGTATGCCAAGCAATGGAGCTGCTCCTGCAAGCAGCTCTGGCAACCTGATGTTACGTGCAACAAAAAGCTCTCTGAGCTTCTCTGAAGTTAGTTCAGCAAAACAATCATACACTTAAGCTGAAGCCTGTAAGGAGGTCAGGTGTGCATTTCACAATTCACCACTAACTTCTATTAAACTTACTTGCTGAAGATGTGTCTGGTTTTGGTGACTTTTATAGGATCAAGATTCAAAGGTCACGACTTAAGGCTATGACCCGCATGTGTTTGCATCAGACCTAGGTGCTTGAAACTAGCAAAGCTAGTTCAACTTGACCTCTCCAAAACCTGAAAAACCTTGTAGAGTACAGGGTTGTTTTCATGATAAAGGCTTGCCACTGGTGAAGTGGAGCTACTATTTAGTGCTAGAATCCAAAGATGCAGAAGTCAAATATCAGTATTGGGACCAGGTAGTTTCTTCCCAAGCCCTTTCATATGAGGGCCTATTGCATTTAAAAATAAAGCGCAAAAACCTCTGACTCAGATCATAAATGGAAAAAAAAAATCTAGATGCTTTTCTGACAAATCAAATGCTACCTTAGCAAGAAATAACTTTTTGAAGTTGCCTGTGAATTCAACATACATGGATGCTTCATGGAGATTTGAAAGCCCCATATCCTGATTGCTCCTAGATGGCATCTTATCATCCAGTGGGGAAACAAAGCCGTCAGCATCATCTTCTAGTTGATCCAAGAAGCTACGCACGTTGAAATCTGTTTTCATGGTAATTGTGAAATCTGGCTTCACATTGCTGTCCTCCTCGGACCCCTCCTCTTCCTCCTACAGAGAGGGACAGAGCACCCCCATAACAGAATAGGTTACTGCTTCCCTTCTCAGAAACAGGTACCTCCTTTCACCACATGCACTGGGGAACAGATATGAAAAGTGGATAGGCAGAGCAAGCACTTTAATTGCTACACAGTACAGGACACCAGAAGACCACCAGTACGACACCCTATACCCAAAGCATGTCAGAGAAACTGTAACCACCAACTCAGATTGGTTAATGAGACCCAAGGCAACAAAACTGAGTGGAAAAAATACCTGGGGTTCTTAGCAACCCGTTGCTTTGTTTAATTTATGTATTCTGATGTAAATAAAAACACTTACAGCCATTATGCACACTGTGTAAAGCATACCTGCCATCCTCTATGTTTCCCTACAAATACACCTGGCAGCATACAGATTGCCAGGTTAAAATGCAAAATATTCTCTCAATAGATGCAGCTCAACAGCTCTCTCTAATGGCTGAATTGAAGACCTCAAATGCTCGTACAGTGATACCAACGAGCTCAGATCAGTCTTTCAATAGCCCAAACGTGGGATATGACTGACTGTACAAGGACTGCTGTTGCTAACATGTTCCTGACATGAGCTCTGTACCATTCAGCTGGAATAGACTAAAAATTAGAGTGGAAACACTCTGCCGAGCGCAATTTCCCCAAAATACACTGATTAATTGGTTGTGTTCAATTTTTTTGCAAAATTTATAGGCACAGGATTTGGAAGTCTCTGCTGCACTTGGTACTTGCTAATTCATAGCGTTCTCAAATGTAGGGCTTGTCCTGCGACACTGTCCAGAAATCATTTGGGTTTTCAGGGAACAGGGCCCAGTTTTCTCTTACTTACAGAGACATTTTTAGAAGGCAGTTTTCAACCTTAATATAAGGAATGAGGCATGAGCATTAGAGGAAGGTAATAAATGCCAGCATGGGCAGTAAGTCTCTTAAATATGTATGTATGTGTATATATATTTATCTTACAACCATGTAACTCTAGCCAGAAAGGATCTAAGCACATGCATATCCTTAAAAGCTTTTGAGGGCTAATATCACTGAAGTCCTTCAAGTGTATGCAAAAACATATTGTTGCACTGGGATCAAAAGAAGCTATTTTCTTTACTTTTTTTCATGCAATTCCTTATGAGTAGTTCAATTATTCCTAAGAGATTGCTCCCACATTTCAAGCAAAAGGGGGGAAAGCAACACTAGGACCTGGCATAGTCCCATTAAAACCTCAAAGTCAATGATTTATAAATGCATACATTTACATGAAAACAGAGTTTGCCCAGAGTTTTCTTTTTATGTTAAACCTCTAGGCCATGAAAATGCAATGCAAAGCCACAGGCTGAGAATTACAACCAAGATGGAGGCTTGAGGATGAAAAAAAGATTAGCTGGAGAGAAGTTTTGAGTAATAATAATAATAAAAGATACAGAGAAGTTTGAAAACATCTCAGGAAAATCTGCAGGCAACTTGTGAAATTTAAAGCAACATTTAGCGTATGATTAGGTAAGACCATTTCTCCAGATGTAAATTATATAGCTTAAACAGAAGACATAAACCAGCAGTCACATATTGTCCTTAAACCCTGCAAACAACTTCAGGCTGGGCTGGGGAAGGAAGACCATCGCTCACTGCCATTTACCAGTCCCCAAGCATGCTGCCCTGCTGGGTAAGGGCAACCAGGACTGAAGCAGGAGAACGCCGATCCTGCTGCGGCATGGAGGAGGATTTGGTAAGTCAATCTAAGCAGTAAAAATGGTATGCTTTATTTTAGGGGAATCTTTCTGGCACCAAAGGAGAACCTCCCGTGCCCTTTCCAGGGAGAGTGAGTTGCTTCTGGATTCCCCTTCTGGAGAGAAATGAAAGGGATGATTTTCATAAGCAGTGTGACAAACTGCTCCCGAGGACCAGGTGCAAGGCGTAACTTGAATCTGTAAATCTGGCAGCAGTCTCTTCCCCATAGACGCCCATGAGCCTGTCTCACTTGCCTCACTCCAGGGCACCAGTGCGCTGCCCAAGCCAGCAAGGATTACTCTGGCCCACAGCTCAGGAGCGAGCCTCCTGCCAAAGGAAGCCCATGGGAGGAAAAGAAAGTGTAGAAGTTTCACTTGTTTAGACCTCAGTGCCAAAACACTACATCTGGCTGTCACAAGACCTCTTAAAGCATTTTGCTGTTTAAAACAAAGGAGCAAATTAAAAGGATCCTTACCAAGAATTCGAATGGAAATGGCCATCTAAGGCCTTTGCTTTAAACAAGTGTCACATCGGAATCTTATTTTAAACCTGCGCTGGCATTTACACCTCGAACCAGAATGATCTTCATTGACTAGATCCATTTGGCTTGTACCTGCTTGGATCTTTAGGCAGTCATGAGGCATTTAAATTTTCCAGAGTTACAAATATAAAATCTCCAGAGCATCCCATCATCAGCACTCCAGCAAGCAAGTTTCCTGATGATTTTTTCAACACAGACAATATTGAAGATATTGTACCCAAATGTTTGGTAAAGCTTCACCTCAAACCACCTTTCAAGCTTTTATCCAACTCTCCCAAATGCTTAACACCCCCCCCCCCAAATCAAAAAACCCGACAGTGTCAGGGGCCCGTCAATATAGGTAGTGCTCTGCCCACAGTGGACCTATGAAGGGGTTAAGTTTTGGGGCCTTTTGGCAATTTCCTCTCTTCAGTTCTGAGTGTAGTTTAGTGCAAAGCTGCCACAGAAGTTTCACAGGGCCCCATTTAAGTGTTAATAGGCATGTAAGTGTTAATGGGCTTAAGGCCATCACCCTGACCTTCAGTCAGAAACCTCTCAAGATTTGTATTCCCTGCAGGACCCTGCTGAGCTGGTGCGATGCTGCCCTGGCGCAGCACCAGCCATGCTGGTCATCAGAGATCACCATAATTGATAGCTGTAAGTTTTGACTCTGGGTGCAAGCATAGGTGGAAAAATAGAGGACACACTGAAAGAAAAAAACAAAACCAAAAATACCCCCCACCAGACCACTGTTGCAGATTTGATCCAGCGGTTATCTAGAAAATACTGAGAACTCAGTGATGATTAACCAGTCTCCAAACAGCAGATTAACATCTCCAGTCTGCAATCTGGTTTTAATGAATATGTGCCTTGAATAGGCCATTAATATACGATCTACTGTAATTGCCTAATAATCAAATAATCTTGGATGTCTAGGTCTGCAGTATTTACACCATTAACCAAACTCTGGCTGGATAACGGATAAGTGACCCAAGTGTGCTGAAGCACTTTTTTACCCTGTTACATTGCAAGGGTAATGAAAGCAAGCCAGGGCCCAGCTCCACGCTGCGTGTCCTGGTCAACCGTTGGACTTCCCTTCTTCTCAAGGGAAGAAGGCCCAATATCGTACCTGTCTTCACCACCAAGAATTACTACCCCATAGCAGCACGAGAAAGAAACACAACAATCCTGCCATCCAAATCTGACCAAGCGTTAACTAGCAGAACAGAGTTGTTCTTACTTCCATCCTCATGTGACTTGGTTAGAAATACCATTCACAAAGTGGTGACAAAGAGCCCTGGATAAAATAAGCACGTGAATGGGAGTAGGTATGGATCCCGTAAGTGCCCCGGTTGGCTCCACGTGCGAGTGTTAGTTTTGTGAGAGCTCATTCCTGCCACGGTGCTGTGTGCAAGCCACAGAGCTTTGGAGTGAGAGAAACTACCGCAAAACAAGTTAGTGTCATTAAAAAGAAAGGAGGAAAGCAAGAAAAAAAGCAATGTACAAAGGTAACTGTGTTTTTTTTTTTAAAGCAAAATAAAATATATTATGTGCAGGTGGAGGGGGAAGGAGAAGGATGGGAAAGAATGCAAAGCCAAGGAAATACTGTAGTCTTATCTATAACAAGGGAAGAATTTGATCAGAGAACGGGCGACTTAAAGCAGCTACTGATTTTTCAGGAGGACACTGCAAAAAAATCAACACTGATGGAAAAAAAGCAAGGTAACTGTGTTTTTTTTTTTAAAGCAAAATAAAATATTAAAATATCAGGTGGAGGGGGAAGGAGAAGGATGGGAAAGAATGCAAAGCCAAGGAAATACTGTAGTCTTATCTATAACAAGGGAAGAATTTGATCAGAACGGGCGAGGCTTAAAGCAGCTACTGATTTTTCAGGAGGACACTGCAAAAAAATCAACACTGATGGAAAAAAATTATCAATCAATCATTCTCTTTCATTGGTATAAGGGGAAAATTGATGCAAACTGAGCAATTAGTTAGCAGCTGGAGGTCTTCACCTTTATCTCCTTGAAGAAGGAAGCTGTTTCGCCCTCGATAATTGGCTGCAGCAAAGGGCTTCTCCGCTTGCTGGAGGGGGAACCCTGTGACAGGTGTTAACAAGTACGTTACATTATGAACCCCTTTCTCCTCCACCACCTGCTCTCAGCTCATTCTCACCCACACATTCACTCTCAGCTCATCGCTGGACCGTCAGGAGAAATCTATTTCTTAAAGGAGAAAAACATGCCCGGCAAACCCCCTGAACCTTGGGCTGTTTTCTCTCAGGATGTTGCTTAGCAAGGAACATCACTACCAAACTTGGATGCTGGAATACTAGCTGGGCAGGAAGTACAAAGTAAAGGCTGCAAGAAAATAATTCCCAGCCCGAGGCCCAGACACACACACAACATTTGATTGGCTCTCCAGAGCTACAGTGTAAGCCCAGCTAGACTCTCCAGGTTTGCCTTCCAGGAGCCTGATTTCGCACGGAAGTGCCTAATGATGTAGAGATGGATTTTCAAATGCATCCTGCCTCTGCATGAGCCCCTCACTGTTCTCACTAGAGGGGCTGGGGAAAGCCAGTCTTGTCTCTCCTCTGCTAGCCACTGTGCAATTTCAGTTTTGTGTCTAAACAGGACCTGAGCTTGCTTTTGAGAGCTTTCCATTAAACTGCCCATGCACAGCTACACGGTTTCTTCCTTCTGACTGCCAGCACCGTCTTCACAGCACACATTTTGGGGAGTACTTTGCATATTCAAGGAGGAACAGCTTTTTGTTTTGTTTTAAATGCAGGACCACCTCCCACTATTTGCAGAAAAAAACCCCACTTCTCAGTGTGACTGCACTGAGTAATGGTGTGCCAGTCCATTCACTTCACTGGCGGTCTATGAAAAGCAGCCAGGACACGAGCGCTGCTTGGGAACAGCAAAAAAAGTAAAGGATCATACATGACAACAGAGCAAGCAGGAACCATCATAAAACAATTATCTTTCCATACACGGGCTAGAAGTATTCTGTGTGTATTTTTTAGATCAAGTAATTTTTAAGAAGTGGCCTACATGAGTTGTCTAAAATTAGAGATAGTGCATTTGCCCCCTGGAGGGGTGCATTGGATTCCTTGCTGGTGGCAGTGCCTCCTTGCCAAAGCACCATCTCGAATGAGGGAATATCTACCACTTGCAGGATCTCTTTAATACAAATGAAGTGTTAGGAGACTGTTGGCCCTTTCTCTCAGCCAAGGAGACCGGTATCTCCTGTGGGACCCACATAAGTCTGTGTTCCTGACATACAAATCTGTGTAACCAGGCAGCATGGAAGACCTACGGCTCAGAGTGGATTGGTAAGGAAAGGGAAGTGAGGCTGTAGCCAAACACAAGATGATGAAATAACAGCAGCAGCCCAATGGAAAGAGGAGAAACAACACAAGGTGAGATGTGCCCCATGGCTCATGGGTGGGCACTGGTAGAGTCCCTTGACCAGCTTTGCCCAACTTCAGTATACCTTTGTCATTGATTCACTCATTTGCTTGGTCTTTGAGTGATAAGGGAGATTGGGACTTGGCCTTAGTGACTGTGTTGTATGCAAAAGTGTGGTGATTCCTGTTTCCTCAGCCGGCAACCGAAGAAATAGCCCCCAAAAGAACGCTCTACTCACAATGATAGGGATGGTGTTGGCTCTGGAGAGGATCTGCTTGACCAAGCGATACCTGTCATACAATGGCTTCATCACCTGTCGTTCATTTTTGGTAACCTGAAAAGGAAAAAGAAGCGAGATCCATGAAGCCTGCAGCAGCTACTCTACTCTATAATGCACGTGCCTGTGATCGCTGTTAGTCAGAGGGGGCTTGAAGGGAATTTCATGAGGATGACAGGTTAGCAGCATGAGCCCTGAAACTGGTAATGCAAGTGCTCACGTACGTTATTGCATCTCCTGACCCAGGTGCCAGATGAAGCAGCATCCAAGCTGTGGGGTGTCTTGTAATGTGGCTGTATGAGACAGGTGGTTTAAATGACCAACTTAGGCATCGTATGTCCACAGCACAAAATGACCCGTAGAGGCAGCAGTCTGTGCTTGTAATCAGTCTACCATTATAAGGCACAACATGAAGCTTCCCACCCTTATTCTTGTCGCTGGGACCTCAGAGGCAGTGTTTATGACCCAGGAAAAGAGAAAGGAGCTGCAGTGACTGGATACTGCAATGAAAGGAGACTTTCCCAGGGTAGGTTAAACTACAGATTTCACAAAAGCTGACTTTCCAGCTTTGCTGTTACTCCTAATTTCCTGTCCAAACCAGCAGTTCTTCAACTTTTTAACCCCCTAACCTTCCCCTCCACCCCTCCTCCCAGCAACTTTGCTGGGGAGAAGTTACCACAGAGCTGAGAAGGGATGAAGGTGCCAGGGCTGTGTGGACTACAGAAGACAGAATAGTGCTGTGACGCCCACCCCAAACCTTCCTTACCTTGCTCTGTCCCTAACTCCACTCCTCCTAGCTGCATGTCACACTCCCTCCTCAGTTTGAGTGTGTTGCAAACTGTGAGAGTTCATTTCTGTTTTTCTTTCAGATCCAAGCTAAGCTGAAAATCTCAGTAGTACTGACAGTGCAGGAGAAGGGAAGACCTAACAGACAGTAGCTAGTGTGGGAAAGCAAATGTCTGTCCAACTAATTACTAGTTGTGAGGAAGTTGGGTTTTATTTCTTCAATGTTTTGTTACAGCAGGGTTAGAAAACAAACAAAATACTCATCACAACCAACCTGATCATCATCTTTCTTTGTATTCAGCACTGTCTGACCCACATCCTATGACAGTCCTTCCGTTAGACCTTTTGTCTAACTTTAGAGTATAAAGCTCTTATGAGGTGAAGCTTTAACTGACTCTGATGTCATGCCTATCTGCCTCAAGGCTTTTTACTGCTGCTAATCACCAGAGCATCTGAACAGCTGCCATATAAAAATCAACATCAACAGTGTAAGCCCTAACAAGCTTTGTACAGTCTCCCTTTCTACAATAGGAATAGGAAGAAAAGGAATACAGCTTGAGACAGGGAGGAAATTTTAAAATGAACCGTCTTTTGTTTTGTCTACAGTTGACTTTCACTAGAGTAAGCTTTCTAAAGCTTTCACACCCTCCCTCCAGAGCAGGAGAGGGTGTTGGTTTTCAAGGGGCCGAAGAGCTGTAAGTATTGCCAGGAGTGGCAGGGATGAACTCTAAGAATCTGGAGGTAGCCTCTTCCTCCTGATAACCAAGCCTATTTCCTATGTTGGGGGCAGATCAATAGGGAGGAAGAAGGAGGAAGACCTTTTTATTCCTTTCTGGGTTCAATGCAAACATCCCCAAGCCTGATACGGGGCATACAGATGGGCTGTCCGAGCTCTAGGGCCTGCATGTCCCACACCTCCGAAGCACAGTCAGGCTCCAATACCTGACAGCCTCAAGCTGGCTGTTCACTGAGTAAGCAGCTCACATGGATTCGAGGGATGCAAGCAGCATCAAACAATTCACTCAGCCCTCTCTGTATTGAATTTCTTGTTGATGTGTCTGCATTCAATTGCACTGGCTAGAAAGTTGCCTCCAACTTTGGATGTTTCTCTGCAACCAATCAAGCATACAGCTGGAGAAACTGGGTAGCCTATATATATTATATTATTCCTATCTTTACTAGGTTAGCAGTTAGTAGAACAGGAGGCACAGCACTACTGTTGGCTTAGACAGCCTTTGTTACTTAAAAAAAAAAAAAAAAAAGACTATGCTGAGGCTTATGCTGAGGCTGAGAACCAAACCTTCAATTAAGGACCTATGAAAGCCAATAAATAGCACTGTTCTGTACAGAAAAATAAACATAAGCCTTGGAACAGGCAAAAAATCCTTAGGTATGTTGAAGAATGAAAAAAATAAATGACATGCTTCAGTGTCTGAATATCAGTATGGAGGAAGAATACAGAGAATTAATTTAGGCATTGGAAGTTAAGTGTATGGGGCCTGAGTCAGCCCTGCAGACTTACACCAGCACACTTCACAGAAAGCAGATCCTGAAAGAAAACTTTTAGCACATGGGCAAACTGTCTCACTAGGTAAACATAAGTAATACCAGCAAAACCCGAGTATATTTTGGGAGAACATCAAAATGCAAAAAGACTGTTGGAATAATGGAGCCTTTGACACAACTCTGGGGCACACTCCACATGGCAAAAGAGCAGCAGCCGAGGAAGAGACCACTGCTTGCATTGTTAGAGCAGCTCAAGAATTTCTGCAGAGATGGACTTTTTAGCTTAACTAAAACAGTTCAGTTCCACCTTTGCAGGTTCATCTATCACTGGTGCAGAAAGACCCAGTTGCACAATAACTCTGAGCTCCATTGTTTTTTTTGTTTAGTTAAATATCTTCAAGAAAAAAAAATACTTGGCTGAACTATCCCCATTCTCCTCAAGCTCTCAGTACTTTTCCACTGCTGCAGTGCCAGGAGCTGGGAACAGCAAAAGCTGATCAGCTGCAGTCTTCCTCGCCATGCAGTTCAGTGTTGCTAGGTATAGACTGCTTACTTAAAAACAAACAAATTAAAAAGCAGTTGTATAAATAAAGCATCAGAAAGGGGAGGGGGAAAAAAAAAGGTATGCTGACAAGCTAGGCTCTGGGCTTGTTCTCTTTTTAAACAGATTTAAGTGAGTTCACTTCAATGAGATGCCACCTATTGATCTATATCATTGTAAAAGCAACAAAAGTAGACTTGGTCTCATGGAGAAGACAGGGAAGGTTAAGTGGATTCCCTTGTGCTGGCTTTTTGCTATTTTACACAAGAATAAAACTGCATGTCCTCTCATACAACTACGCTGTTTTCAGCTGCTGGTATATGTTACTGTACAATATTAGCACTCCATGAAGGCTTTTAAATAAATTAGTGAGACTTTTTTAAAACATGGGACAAAGGAGGAAATAATTCAGGAGCAAAAGGAAGGAAGAGATCAGAAATCCCATGCAGCAGCAGAATGACAGATTTGTCAGCGGCACTAATCAAGTACTCCTTATAAGCAGTAATTTGCTGCTCCCAAGCCACTGCTCAAGGGATTAGCACCACTCTGAAATTAAGTTGCTTTACCTATACAGCTGGTAGCAAAGATTATAGTGTCAGTGAAAGAGGAGGAGGGATTCATACAAAGCCAACTTGGTGGCCTGGAAGCCACCGTGTTTCTGCCACGGCAGGGATCAACAGGACACAATACTTAATTCTCTGTCTTCACAAATAATTTTCCTTTGTTAAGATCAAATGTGCAAGAAATCTCATGCCCTTTGCTTCCACTGGCACATGGAAAAAACCATCCATTTCTCAGGGGAAGAATGAAATCTCCTCTCAACTTATGCTGTGATGCTCAGGAGACAAACTGTTTCATGAATCCTTTGGCACAAGAGGATTGTGCAAATAGCAAGGTGCAGGTGCCTCCCTGCACACAGCAAGGTGCCGGGAGAAACACGCTATAGCTCCTCTAAGAAGGAGCAATGTATGCACACCTGTCTTCCCAGTTAGCCATTAATACTAGCAAATTGCAAAATTCCTGGTTGGATGGGGGACCACACACTATTCCTGTGTCCCCAGCAAAGCTGGTGAGTCTGCTGGGCCACAAACTGGACGTCTGTGGATCCCGACAAGCGTGATGCCAAAATAACGCACGTTCAGCCTCATTCAGACTGTAGGCTCGGTCCTACAGGTATCAGCCAAGCCCAACGCTGTGTGCAGACATCACCTTGCTGAGAACAGACTCCTCAGTAGCAGCGGTACTGAGGGATCAGGGAGGTGGATTAGAGGATGCACGTGTGGTTTGAACAGCAAGAAGTTCTAGTGACTGTGACATCAAAGGAGCATTAGGGGGATCATTTACCACAGACAAAGACATATAAAGATGTACTTTGAAAAAAATGCTGCTGTACATACCGGTCTGCCATGAATGCTTTCGTAATACAGCAAAGCTTTTTGAAGAGCCACTTTTTCAGCTGCTATCTGATCTCTTGTCATGTCCTATGAAAAGTGGCGCAGAGAGAAAGGAGGAAGAAAAAAAAAGTCAGATTCCTGGACTCAAACAATACCGATCTGTAGCCTAACCAGTCATGTCATTTTGTCATTAATGTTTCGAAGACTCATCTCTGTCTTCCAGTGCTCTTCTCCCAGCTATATTGCCAAAGAGACTGTTAATGTGAGTGGCACCCTATGCACAATGCAGGCAGATTAAAACCGTATAAACTTTGCATATGAAGGTGTTTTATGTACATAAGGGTGATTTATCAATTATCAGCGTGCTTTGAAAAAACAATGGTATGCAACTTTTAATGCTGGTGGCTCTTTTTCAGTTAGGATCCGAAGTGTAAATTCTACAACAAAACATGTTCTTTCTTTTTCTCCAAATCTGAGACAAGCCCCAGTACCTCTTGCAAAGCTTGCCATCTTTGCTTTGACTACCACAAACATACTTTACCAAGAACTGAAGCGCAGTCAGACTGCCTCCTTCTGCCAATTCTGCTATGGAGTGAAAAACTCTGGCAGACAGGCTGAGGGGACCAAGCCAAAAAAAGGGCAGACAGTTGGAGAACACTTCCCTAAGTTTGCCAGAGATCCCCCACTGAACTTGCCTGACACCGAGCCTTCTCTCTCTTATCACAGCACCAAATACTATCATAGGCCCTCTTTAAACGGCCAGGCTGTGGATTCTTGCTACCATCAGAAAACAGCCAAACACACACTGTGTGTATCTTCTTCTTCTGCAGCTCTAGTAAACAAAGATAATGCTGTCTGCCCCTCTCTTACTAAGCATTGCACAATTTACATGTTAGCAGACTCAAGGACTTCACTTACAAGGCTGCCCAAACTTCTGGAACTAGCAACATCAGACACAAAGACCTCCCTGCTGATAACCCTCAAAGAATACAGCAGCTTAGAGAGTTCAGTATGAAACTCTGAAGAGCAGCCAATTTTATTGCTGCCCCAATACAAGAGCATTCAGCTTTGGAGTGAACTAGAAGAAAACAGATGACCCAATCTCCAGAATCACTGGAAGACTCAGAATTTGCCAAAAGCCTTTGGACATAACAACAAAAATAGCCAAATACAGGGCAGGGAATATTGCAATAATTCAGAAATGTTACTTGGAATATACAAGCATCAGAAAAACAACACACAATGACATTCAATAGAAACTGAGCTCTGGAAAAAAAATCGGATACCAAAGGCAGAGGGAGAGAAACTAAAGCAAGTGAGCCAGGAGTAAAGGTTGTAGATTTTGTGACAAAACTTAGAAGACCACAGGGCTTTCACAAGTGACTGTGCAGGCATGAGTCACCTACTTGTACTTAAAGGCCTAAATCTGATCTGTCTACACTGTACCTTGATATCTTCAGGTCGGTTTGTCTCTGTTCGTTTTTCTTGAAGCTTCTTCTGGATAGAATCAAGGGTCGCTTCCACGGCAGGCTTGGCAGATTTATCTGACAGGTCTGGCTTCTTGTCATCATCCTTTTCAAGCTGAGAGCCGAAGCTCTTGGGGAGCGTGTTGCTCCGCTGACGCACAACAGGGCCAAGGTCTTCCTCCGATATCTTCAGTTTTGACTCTAAACAGGGACATTTGGGGAAAGAAGAGTAATTTTTCTTTTTTAAAATGTGACACTGACAGGATCGCTGCCTAACATCAAATTTAAATGAGGCAGAGTCCAGCTGCCCAGCGGTGGCTGCTCACCTTTAAGTTGCTTTCGGAATTTGGCCAAATCATTTGTCCATTTGAGCACTTCAGGGTTGGCTGCTTTATCGCTGTGGGAAGGCTGGAGGAAAGAACAGTCATGCTGAATCTGTGTTAAACCAACAGGAGAGACCCACTGAAACAAGCGTGTGTCACAGAAAAAGGTACAATAGAATTTGGACCCGGCATAGAGCATGGGCACTGGCTTCTGACTGGCACCTGCATACCTCTGACCAGCTCATTTCAAACCTTGCTTTAATTCCTCCTGCCTGTCACAACACCGTCTCTTAGGGGAATCATGAGATTTTCTTTTTAGAAAACACAAAGCTTTTGATAGCAAACATTAAGTTGTAGGAGTGGCTCAGAGGGCCAGATGCACATTGGAATCCTTGTGCCTATTGTTTCCTAACAAGAGGGCACCTCCAAAATAGAGGAAGTCTAGCATGAACTATTTGAGAAGTGTTAGGATGCATGTATCCACACCAAAGGCTGCCTTACATCCAAAGACACCAAAATAACCCAAATGCTAGGCTACAGCAAGCTCTGAGCACTTCTTCCAGCCTTTTCTACTGCAGGCAAGATCCTTTCAGTACAATCCTTTGTGGTTTAGATCACCAACAAAGATGCACACATGCAAAGCTTTAGTTCCTTAAAAAGCTTTCTGTGCGTCGGAAGGGCACGTCAGGAATACTTAGAGTACAGTACACTGCTACTGCTCAGCAGCACTTGCCTGTGGTTTCTTGCTCAGGAGTAAAGGTGGCTGCTCTCTCTCCTCTGCAATGCCCTGGTGTCCTGGGATTACCATCACGCAAATGAGATGCGCAATTGTGCATCCCATAAGCTGAACTTGAATAAATACACAGAAGTTTAACATAGCTATTCCTACACACTGAGTGTGTGCTTTTGGCACGCTGTCTTAAGCAGTGATCAAAATCCTATGAGTTTATTAGGCTCTCTCTTGTGCTAGTAGTTACAGTGATAGTATCACTCTTGTGATAGTACATAATGCCTGGAAAGGTAATTTGCTTGGTATGGATACACATTTTCTTTTTTTGGGCAGCAGCTTTTTTCTTTTCTTCTTTTTTTTTTTTTCTTTCTTATAAAAGCTTTCAAGTCCTCTGTACGTTTGACAGACTTCCTTGATGTCCGTTCCCTTTGTTGCTAATGCATACCTCGCCATACAAATGCTAATCTCCTAGAGACTCACTCTGTATTTCCTCTCCTCTTCGAACTTGTCCTCAAATCTCCTGATCTTTTTCTTCAGTCCCTGAATCCTCCGGGTGAGTTGTGCAGGGGTAAGGTCCTCTCTGTCATCTTCATAAGATCCCAAAGATGAACTCCGCCTCCTACCAAGAGCAGAGATTGCAGGAAGAGCTTATCCAAACAGCCACAGTACATCTTAATGCAGAAAAGGCCACTTAAACTTTGTGTAAATAAAGGCAAATCCCACAGAAGTGAGAAAGCTATGTTGCTACTCTGTAATGACAGATAGCAAAAGATGCTGTAACAGCCTCTTTCAGCAACAGCAACTCCCTAGATATTAATTCACAAACCCAGAAACGATTAGTTACCAAGAACTTTTCTAAAAATATCCGTTTCCTGTTGGTAGGAACAGAAACCCAACACAGCATATCTACCTGGCATATGTGATCCAAAGAGATGTTGCTTGATGCAACTGTGCAAACCCTTTACAGCTGGGTGCGAGAGTCAGCACAAGCAAATCACAACCCACCTCATGAAGGAATGAGAATTGGGAGGGGAAGGAGGCACTTCTGTATCATCCAGGTACTGTTGGCTCTGTCCATAGGCATAGAAGCGAGGGGACAGCATAGGATCGCTGTCCTCATCCAGAAGCTGGCGAATTAAGCGACCAGCCTGCGGGGAAAGGCGAGCCTCATCTGAGTCTAAGCCGTCTCGCTGCCATGAGGAAAGAGCAGGGATGGGCTCTGGGAACAGTAAGACAAAGGCTGGTTTTATCGTTTTTGTTTTACATGTACGACAGACTCCAGGCAACTTCTCTAATGAGCCCTGACCCATTCGTCCTGGACCACGATTCCTTGTCATCAAGCATTCTCTGGGTCATTACTCGCATCTGCCCAGAGTGCGAAGCAATGCAAAGCATTGCCTGGGCATAGCGGGTACTCTACACAAACATAAATAATCTCCTAAGGTGCAACAGAAAACTACACAAAAGTTGGCCAGTAATTACCACAGACTGACACCAAACGAGGCTATCGCCAGCCAGAACCTTTGAGGAAAAAGTTATGCTGGACAAGAGAGAATTATTGGCACATGGCAGTATAGAGGAGGCAACTGGATTACAAGAAGATTTTTTTCAGTTTCAGGATGTACAAATGCTGTAAATGAATAGCATATTAATTGTCCTCCCGTAGCCTCCAGCACTCCAATACAACCCTGTCGTCCGCTATTGGAAATTCAAAGACTAGGAGTAAGCATAGGTTCTTCTAGTCTGCAAGGAAAAGGTGTCTCACATTACTACCTGTTCCACAGGGTGTCTAGCCTGCAAATTAACAATTATGGTAATATGGTCTGAGTTTCCCTCCCCCCTTTTCTCTTTCACATGCAATCCTGCTGCTTAACAGCATGGTAGAAAAGCGAGGAAATCTTCGGTCCCCTGGACAATCTAACCAACTGGAAGTAAAAGCAATGTTCTACAGGGAGATGGTAGAGTGGGAGAGAAAGGAAAACCCAACTTAGCATTGCTGATTAGCATAGTGGAGCCCATGGAAAGCAATTGCCTCAATCTTGTGATCACTCCTTCCAGATGCCATAAGGAGTCTAACGTTTTGTGTTCAGATAGTTTACTAAGCTGATTTGCATGCTCCTACTTAGCACCACAGGATTAGACAGTTTAAGAGCCAGGCTTTGAACTTATAAATCTAACAAATAGTTCTAGAGTCAAGTAACAAAACAAAAACCTTATAGAAAGCTCCCAGACCAGTCGCAGAGCTATGGACTCATTATTTCCCATGCCTAGTGCGTCTACTCTTCCTCCACGAAGAAAAGGGGCTTTTGAAGTGATCAATTTTTGAATAAAAAGCAGTATTTCCTTTTGCTGAACAAGGTTAACATTTTCTTAGCTCAGAATGGATTGCATGAGGATTCCCTTACAGAACCCCTACGCTGTTTAATATTCCCCCCATGTACAATTCGGACAGCGCAAGATCATCCACAATTCCGTAATGACAGGCTCAGTGGTATTTTGCCTGTAAACAGCATCAAACGATGCTCTCCTCCTCTTCCCTTCTTCCTTAGCGCATGAATATAAATGGCACGCCTCTGCTTAGAGGTTGGTGCTGCATGCAAACTGATGCGTTGCTCTGAAAGGGATGGCTGGAGGTTTTTGCGTAAGAGCCTCTCGCAGGTGTTGTGATAAGCGAAGCACATACAAGCCTGGCTCACAGAGGCTACTTCGATGAGGTGTGCAAGTCCCAAGTGTATGTAGGCTGTTTTGCCATGGATTGGAAAGCTTATGCAGCCTGCACTTCTCTCAGTTAATTTCTCGAACCAGAGTTTTCTCCAAGCTGCATTCAACTTTGGCAGTTCCTAATACCTGAAATATTTCGCTCAAGGAATCTTTTAAGAAGGGAGGTGAAACGAAGGGCAAACCCTTTAGCCAAACTGAGACACTTTGGTGTCGCACACTTCCCTGAATCCCTCATGATTTCAGGAAGGTTCTCACAAGTTCCCTTGTAGCAAAATGAAGGCTAATAAAACAAAAGGAACAAGTCTGATACATTTGACTAGCAGGAATGAAGTGAAGTGATGCACGTGATTCTTCTAGACATCTCTCACTTCCTATTTTTGGAATACACTCTCACCCCCAAACAGAATTTGCTCTTGGAAATTGTTAAATCACACCTCCGTGGGATTTACATAGATGGAATAAACTAAGAAGAAATCAGCAGCATATTTAGCAGTAACCAAATTAAGCTCCTACCACACCATCTAACAAAGCCATTATTAATCATGCATGACGCATGTGACTTTGTCCCAAGGTGGATTTATATACCAGATAGCATGCGACATTCAGGGAATTGCAATGGCTCAAAGAGCCTCTGATCAAACCCCAAAAGACAGCAAAGCACTTTATGCAAGCTAGCGGAGACTGAGGTACGTGTACTTTCTGTTTTGTTGATTTCAAAATACTGCCCAAAACCAGAACCTCGCATTCCAAAGGAGAAAGTGTTAAAAAGGAGAAGGAAAGAAAGTCCTAAAAGGAAAAAACAAATTTGAGACTTGACAGAAGAAATGTCCGCTATAGAAAATCAGATGTTTTTAACCCTTGCTCCTGGAAGGCCTGACTCTATGGGTAACTTGTTTCCCTTGCTGACTGTAAGTATTTACAAGAAAAAAAATCTCATCTGAACACAAAATGGCTATCCCCCCAGAAAGCGACACAGTAATTAATTAAGGAACGTATTTAGCTATGTAGAATTATGGATTTTATCTACATCAGATCACGAAGTGGACCAGAGCTGTAGTCCAACTGCCTACTCTCTCATACTGGCCAGGTGCCCAGCGCTTCAGCTGGAAGCACTGGAATTGCTGGGTTGCACAAATATACAGGAACCCGCTAAGGGTAAGCTGCCGCTTTTTCTGACAGCGCACAATCAATCAATTCCCGTTTAAACAGAATACATAGTATCTTTTGTTACTCATTTATCCAAGATAGCTATCAAAGTGTTGAGCCTTTTCTGAAGGCTGCTAAATTCCTGGACTTAATGGTTCAGGTTTGAAGTATCTGCTCTCGGGATTAATGTTGTCACCCTTTCCCCTTTCTGCTAGTTGAAGAATAAAATCTCAGTAAAGAATGTAAATGTTTTTACCTTTTCTTTGCCATTGACTTGTCAGAGCAGTTACCCTTATTCATCTTCTGTCTTGAACAGATCTCTCTTGCTCAGAGAAAACTCAGTTTTCTACTCATCTCCACATTCTTTCCATGTACTATTTTTTTCCCCCATTTTCCATAATGACAACCTTTCATGAAAAAAAATATTTGGGAATATTTAACCACCATGGCTGTACCAGTGCAGAGGGTGGGAAAATTTTCTATTTCTTGGTCAGACTCTCAACGCATTTCTTTTAGGTACGCCTTTTCTAAGTTGGCGCAGAAGAAGTGAAATACGCTGGTATTGAGCCTGCAGTCCTTCAGAAGTGCTGCACTCCCTCTCAAAATCGCATAACCAGCTAATCTTTCAACAAAGCTGTCAGCCATCTGCCAGGGGTTGTTCTGTAGAACTCTGTAGGCACACATACGCCTACGGCAATACAACCTCTCTGCCAACCTGCCACATAGAGGGCTGGAGATACTAATAAACCTGTATTACGCGAGAAGGAAGAAAGATTAATTGTATCAAATTGGTGTATTATTGGTGAGCTCCAAGCTGTCTTGCTGACAAAAACTGACTTTTTTTATCATTACGTTGTATATTTGCCACAGGGTTACTGGGGGCTGTAGGGCCAACAGAGGGGCACCCACCCATACATCACACCTGAGGTGCAGCCCGCAAAATGCCGTGGGCATCTCCTGTTTCCCTCTCTGCAGCCACACCGCTGATACATGCTGCTAACACTGCTTTTACACACACCCATCTGACAAACAAAGGAGGACAAATCTTAGCTGCTGTAAACCCAAGTAGGTCCGGAGGGAATAAAAAGCCTAAACTAATTACAACACCTGAGGTCCTAGTATTAAATCCCACTTGAAAGACCCCAGAAAGATGTCTCATAATGAAGTGAATAAAGCAATTTAAAACTTCAAAACATTCACTAGCTCAGTAACAACCTATTTTACTCATCTTATAAATGTTTGAAAACATCCTTGTTTGAATACATCAGGAGGTATTCGTCCTACGTAGATCAAAAAGAATGGCCAAAATAAAGTGCTACCACGCCTTTTCAGTTAGTGAGATGACACATCTCTCAGCTAGCAAGCCAACTTTGTATTTTGTTTATAATATAACATCATAATAAACAATGAAAAAATACATTTTAAAAATACTAATGCTATAAAATAAAATCAGTAAACAATGCAATTATCCTTTTCTACACATAGTAATAAAAATGCAGTGTTTCATCACCTTTTGATTTCTTACGCTACAGTGTGTTACACACAAATACACTGATGTATCTAAGTCCACAGTGTTGGGGAAAAAAAAAAATCTAAATCCAGCTTCCCTGTTGCTATACTCTTTGGATTTTTTTTCATTACTCTTTTTTTCATGGGAAAGTATCAATTAAGTCATTGTCAAAACTATTTGTAGATCAGCTTCACCCTCAGTGTCTCAGTGCTGCAATACTTGAGTTCTCAACACAACTCAAATTTGTTTTAAATTTCTGCTTTTATTCTTTTTTTTTTTAAGCTTGAAAGTTTGTAGAAAAATGTCCGTTGATTGTTTCATAAGTGCTTGTTACTGCAAATCCTGCTTGAAATCTCATCTACAGAACTTTTTTTAAAATGTCAGTAATCAGGCAACGTAGGCAGCAATCACACGCATTGTATCGATTCACTGAACTGCCTGTTCAGCTCCAAGCTGCTGACAGGGCCAGCCGCTGTTACAGAGAGCAACGTACTTCCAGATTTTCCTTGTGGGCGGGATAGCAAGTTCTGGGCTTGAATCAGAAACATTTGGTAAGAAATCTGCACTATAGTGCTGGACCGTGAGAGAACACTCTGACCTCCTTGCTCACAGCACTCAATTCAAATGTAATCCACAACAATTAAAAACCTTTGCTATGGAAGTAGCTCTGAAAACGCTTGCTCGTAAGCCGTCTCAGCTGGCACCAACTGACTGGCTTAGCAGTCAAGCCTAGCAGTCAGACATCCCAGTTCACAGAGACAGCTTGGTTCACACCCAGCCTGAGAATAAAACTATTTGATTTGCATCCGCCAAATGCACACTAGTAAAATACTTCTCTCGGACCAGGGGAAATGCACCTAGGCTAAGTGTTCCGCACTTGAATTTGGTTGGGGCACTGCTCACACCCTGCATACTACATCAATAGCCTGACAATTACTACACATATGCCCCTATATGTAGCAGGTAAGGCGGATGCAGAAAGCAGGCACGTGGCAGAGTGTGAGCCTATGCACTGGAGGAAGCAGGAAGCAAGTTTCTCTGTCCTCTCTCTGCTCAGCTTTAGGTAAAGGGAACATAGCCTGGAGAAGTACAGCAAATCTCTCCTCTTGTGTACAGATGTGTACAGATTTGACTATGCTGTGAACCTTAAAAAAAACAGAAAAAAAAAATCTGGTAAAAATTACTTCTAGCATAACATAAAAGGCAGGGAGCCCTGCCAGCTCACCTGGCAGTAGTTATCACAGTTCTGTGCCCCTGAATGAGGGTTTTTAAGGCAGCTCTGGTCTTAATATGATGGAGAGTCTGCCTGAGTGACAAATAAAAGCTAGTCAATGGACAAGGTTGTCTTGCATAATTTTGTGCCCATTCTTCAAGGCCCTTTCCTAACATTTGACTGGAGGCAGTGACAGCTACAGCTGAAGGCAACCCCTCAACCTGTAATTGTTCTCACAAGCCATTTGTGAAAGGCCTAGCAGTTGCCCTGGTCACTAGATGCTCTGTATCTCCTGCAGTGTGATACAGAGGACCCTGCCTCCAAAAGTCAGCTCAACTATGTCCTGGAGGAATGGGTAATTTCCTGAGAGATGGACTTACCAAATTTGCTACAGCAAAGCAATAACTAACTCGGTGTTACTGCATTTGGAGGCACAGTCCTTTCCCTTTTCACTGGGGATGCAACCAGAGCTGTGGCACAGATGCTGAAGGGACGTGTAAAGGTTTGAGTGACACAGGCTGGCAGGGGAAGCGAGGCTGCTAAAGCTGTGGATGAGTGGTACAACCCTGCCTTGCAAAGCCAGTCTCAGTGACAGACTCTGCCATCAGCTGCAGAAGCAGCCTGAGAGTTGATGTAACATCTTCCCCTTCCCAGCTGCTGTGAGCTTGATTTCACATCCACAGCTAGAAAAACGTCCTTGCTGAGACACAGAAGGCACCATTTTGCTGCTCTTTCATCTGCGCCAACAAAATGGTGATTCTGGAAGGCAAGTATTTTAGATGACATCTCTCTCACCCCAGACAGCTGATTCTTTTGCAACTGCCCACCTCCTCCTCTTGTGAAATACATGTGAACAGAATGGAGGAAGGAAGAATCAGAGAGAAGCACTCTTCAAGCACAGTCACACATGCTCATAATCCTGTTTCATGTTTGCAGGGCAAGAAAGCTAGAATCCAAACATACGAGCATGCCTACGAAGAGGGAGTTGTACCAAAGGTGCAACTTATTTCATACGATGGCAAAGACTCTGGCAGACAGAAAGCAGCTGTGTTCTCCCCTTCATGCATTCATATGACTCCCATTAGTAACCCAGGAAGAAAAAAAAAAAAAAAAGAGTAATTATTTCCTAAGGTTCACGTGACGGCTGAAGCCACACATCACCTCTGAGAACACAGACGTGCTCACCCTGGCTCAAGACACTGCGGGGCAGTGCTAATTAGCATCTCAGCAAACACATAAAGCGACCAAGGCCTCCTGGGAGCCCTTCCATGGCACTTTGATCAGCCATGCTGCACGTGTGGTGATACCATCCAGGGAATCCCCACCTAGCAAGCAAGTGGAGAAATTCTCTCCCGTCATGGTCACTAGTTGCCTGGCTGAATCAGAGGCCGCCACGGCTGCGGGTTTTCTTTACTCATGCCTGAAGTGTCATAACTACTCCCCTCCCAGAGGGAAAGGCAAAATATACTAGGTCACGTACGCTGTGGAGGCAGGAGCAGAGAACTGAACTTCTCAGTGTTCCTCAGAGATTGTTTTTTTAGAGCAATATATTAGTTACACATTTTCCCTCTCTGGCTTTATTAAAATGCCATACTCACATTTTCCTGTTTCTTCCCTTCCCCTCTTCCACTCCTAAATCACAACCTGACAGAAGAATTCTTGCTTGTACACAGAGACATACTCAGTAATTGGAAAAAGGTTTGATCCCAGAAGTGCTGGACACCTTCAAGTAACCTGAATTTCAAATGAAATTGAGGTTCGTGGCACCCACAGAGTTCCCCCAGATTTCCCACTTTTAAGTGAGTCAGCGCAAACAGCCAACCAAGCATGCACTCTGGAGATGAGAGCTAAGAAACAGTATTAAAATAATTTAAACCACATGCAATTTAACACTGCTGTTCAAGCTGGTGATCAGAATTTTTTCACAGCATACATAAAAAAAAAAAGTTGTTTGTAAGAGCCATCAAAAGACAGAGTAGCAGATAGACAGCCTTTTTTCCAGCTGTGCTTTTCAGATCCAAATCATTATTTCCAAATAGTGGCTGAAGTGGAAGAAAAGGGAGAAAGAAGGAAGTTCCTTTTAGACTGTGAAATACCCAGTTTCTTTGAAGTGTAGGGCAGTCTAGCTTAATACTCGAGTGACCAGGCACCAAGAAATAAGTTACCCTGAAACACTCAGGGACTTTACTGAACAGCACATGAAAGTAACTTCAAGAATAAAACAATTAATTTTCTTCCTCTAAGTGACAATTAGAATTGGTACCCATCCAGTATTTCGCTTCCAGTTTCTCAAGACTTTCAGTTCCATATTCAGGACAAAATTGCTTTCCTGTTGTTTTTGGCAAGGGAACACGATCGCATAAAGATATACTCAGCCCACTCAGGTTTCCCTCTCTTTCATTTCACTCATGCGACCAGCCATCACACAATCCTACCTTCCCAGTTGTTGTCATCACATAGCGCTGTCAAATCCAGCCGAGGCACTTCTGACACAAAGCTGTTTTCCTGATCATCAGCATCTTGATTTCTTTGCAACTTGTTTTCAGGAATGCTTGGATGCTCTTGAATCTTCATACTTGAAGTCAGCTATATTCCCATACACCCACAGAAATGAGAGAGAAAAAAAATATGTTTCAGGAGGCAGAGGAGGAAAAAAACACCCTGCAGTCACAGCAGCAGTAAGCTCACGCCTTTAGCTAAAAAGATCCAAACAAACAGACCCTGACGTTTCCAACTCCAAATCCAAATCCCCTGCTCGGTGACCCCTATGTACTAATTGCTCACTCACACCGGTAAAAACATCCGTCCATCTGCCTTCCTTGAATTTTTCCTTCTTTAGAAAGCCACTGCAAGTTCCTGAGACTGCCTGCCCTGAAAACTGCATGCAGCTGAAAAAGCCTTCAGTAATCGATTGGGATGAAAAGGGAGGGAGGAAGGCGGGGAGAAAGGGAGAGAGAGGGGCTGGCTGCGTACACTTCCTACAGGAGTGCAACTCCTTGGAGCAACAACAAAAACGCTGCTGCTGTTGTAAGGCTGTAGCAATATGGTGTCTTCTAAAAAGCAGGCACTGGAGCTCCTGAGGTAGCAGACGCAGACAGCAAGCAGTGCAGGCTACATACATGAATGCTCTCATGCAGGCTGTGCTGGCTCAGATCAATTAGTGCCAGCTAAGCTTTGCTGGCTGCACATTCCCTGATTTCCTGTGGTTGTTTTCTAGCTGGGCGTGGGGAGAGCAGAACTATTTATGGAGGAGCTCTGGGTATTAAAGCAGTGTTGCGCAAATCCAAACGGCAGTGGGGTTTGGCATCTTAGCTCGAAGCAGTGTGGACTCTGGGAAAAAGCCAAAAAATTCACACAAGCATCCAATGACTTAGGGGGGAAAAAAAAAAAAAAGGCAGAATGCTGTCAAGTAAATGATTCATCATTTAGCACTACCTAGAAGCAACTGCTGTTTGTCTCTCCACTATTCACCCCTGCACATACCACACGTCGTGTGCATTTATGCAGAAATCACTGCTGTTCCCACAATCCAGATACACAGTACGCGTGTCTGTAATAGTGCTTGATGACACGAGCAGTTTTGTCACTCTAAAATAAATTAGCTGCAATGCCTCACAGAGGGCAGTAGGGAAAAGGAAGTGTAAAGCATGTACATAAACATATAGTGTAATATGTCTAAACCCACCCACAAACACAGAGTTCTCTGAATAGACAGCATTACATTACTACATAAACTATTTATCTTGGTAGGAACAGCTTAGGCGTAATTCTCTCCAATATAGTCTAGCAGGTAGTCAACATGCAGATTTTCCCCCTGCAGGTATTTTGATAATCTAGTTAGCAATCTGCATATGCTGATGTGTGAAGAAAACGGGCCTAAAGAAAATAACTGGTACATTTGGACATATTTTACTTGTGAATCCAGAAGCATGGCCAAACTGTACTAAATCAATATCCTTAGTACATGCCACTAATGCACATTTAATTTTTTTCATCTGCATAAAGCTAATGATGTGTTTGGGGTATTTTTCCCCCCTTTGAGCAGAGAAAAACAAGTAAGCTTCATGTAGAGAGGCAAAATCCTGCCCAGTAGACAAATCATATGAATAAATGTTTTTATCTGGATTCAATCCCATCAATCCCTGCAATTGGACAGGGTGCTAGATAATCTCATCTAGGCTCCCCTTCCCACGAAAGGTTGGACCAGGTGATCTTTCGAGGTCCCTTCCAATCTGGGCTGTTCTACGGTTCTAAAAACCTGGGTGATGAACACCCTGGTATTTGTAAAGAGTGTTCTGCATTGTATTTGTATAAGGTTTGTGTTTCCTTTTCATTTCAATAAATTGTCTTTTTGAAACATTGTAACAAAAGGAAACGCTAGATGACAGTTTGCCAAGCACTAATAACTCGTACAGCTTGACACTAAATCTGATTACAAACGTGTTTATTGTGAGAGCTGTACATGGAAAAATGCTAATTCACCATTCAATATCTTTTAAGCTGCTTCCATGTTGGGAGGTCTTAAATATTTCTTTAAGGTCCAGTAACAAATTTCTTGCCAGCATCTAAATAGTCAGTGTACCTTACAAACAGAAAGACTGGTCAGTGGCCAGAAACAGGCAGTCTTCTACATTCACTAAAGAACAAACTGTACCAGTTGATAAACTGCATTTAAATTGCCAGCACAGTATTTTAAGGCTGAAAGAAATAAAGCAGTAAGTTTCAAAATAGGTGCTATTTTTAATAACATCAAGAAGCATGAAGAGAAGAACTTCGCTAGACTTTAACAATTTCAAAGGGAGCAACCTGAAAATACCATCTCGTCACCACCACTGATACTAATTACAGAGTTAAATGTCTCTCTATGAAGAGTGCACAATCACCTGACTTATTAAGACTCTTAAAAGATATCTGTAGCAGAGGTAAGAGCATTTCCCAGATGGGTAAACATTTCCATTACAGATATATTAGAAGGATCATATCAATGTCTTCTTTCTTCTAAAGTCACTTCTGTTGTTGGAAATATTTAAAAGCTGTTTAAAAACAGGCCTGTGCTGTGCCTGCAGCCAGTTACTCTCCTTTCCTTGCTCACTGATGTAGCCTCTGATACAATGAATAAATCATTAGGTGTTCTGAAGAACAGTGGTGGTACAAACCCAGGAGACTCAAGAAAGCAGATGTTTAACCTTCTTTGCATTAACGCTCCAAACCCATAGAGTGGTAGATAATTCAGTATTCCCATCACTTATTTTCCTGTTTGATTTCCTGATGCCACCAGTTGCCAACCTCCAGGACAAAAATCAAGTAATGGAGAACTACTGTGCTTTAGGTATGGACGTGCCACAATTTCTTACAAACCAAAGGGGCAGCAAGTTGATGATCTCAGTAGCAGTTGGCAGTCACAGTGCACTGCGGATATTACATAAATGACCACAAAAAAAATCTTCACACTAGGCACTTGGGTTCTGCTTTTTAGAAGCTGCTTCTGCAGCCATGCTTTGCAGGTACCAGTAACTACAGATCTAAGTAACTTGGGGATAAGTCAGCTGTTTTCATTGTCCCTGCTCCAAAGGAAGTTCAGCATAAAGAGTAGCTCAAGCAGCTAGAAATAAATGGCAACAGAAAGACCTTTGAATTCTGATCAGGAAGTTGTATTCTGTTCAATTACAGGTGGATTCAAATCAATTTTATTTAAAAGGCTTGCTTCCCCTACATCTGATCATCCATTACAACCACAAGCAGGAAGCATCCTTAAGCACCCCTTGGCAATACAATCTGATGCAAGAATGCAGCCATTCTGCTGCCTTACAGCTGAGTCATGCCAATCCCCCTCTACACTTGTTGCCACGTTGGTGTGAATCTTAAACACCCTTCCGTTATCAAAACCTGGGTACTAGAAACCTGTGTTTTTCAAATCACAGCCTACATCCTGGAGCTTAGTTACTTCCAAGGGCAGATTATGAAGGCTACAAAAGCACTGAAAATTCATTCAGGGCATGTGTTTCAAGGTATTTTTACTGCCTCATGGAGACCCGAGTCTGCACAACCGGTAGCTATGGCAAATTCCAAATACCTTTCCTAGTATCTTCAGACGTCAGAGACAGGGTGAGAAAGAGAAAAAAAGTAAGAAAGTCCCTGTCCCTTCCTCATCCTAAGTGAGTTGTTTGTTACGAAAGGTATGCCTTTAAGCTGCCCTCAACAAAAGGCTTATAAGGGACAAGGAATGTAAAACTACCCTGCAGGAATGTAACATTTTCTTGACCTTGTAATTCCTATATAATACAATCTCTGGGTTAAGGCCATGTCTTCTCCTGGAGTTAAAATTCTAAATTTTAAAACTCTTCCTAAGGAGAAGTTTATTTTTAGATTATGATTTCATATGCAAATATACCTCCCCCAGACTAATTTAAAAGCTTAATGGGAGTATTGTGTCGCATGGCAGTGACAGCACCTTCTCCCCATGCAAGCCAGTACGTGAGGAACAAGGTGTTGCAAAATCCACGCTCCGGAAAACGCAACAGCTCACAAGCAAGTGCAGGATCATTGGGGATTACTGACCCTCTGGGAGCAAAGTAGGAGATCCATCTAAGCCCAGTCAGAGCAGTGATCAAAGGCAGCACTGAACACTCCTTGCAGAGGTTACATGTTTCAGTGTCCCATGAACTTCTCCAGCTACAACACAGCGTTCGCAAATAATCTTTTACCTTTCCTGCTAGATGGAAATAATACCTACCAGAAATGAAGTCTTTCAAAGGCAATAAATGCATAGTGGCTTTTATTTTTCAAAAAACAGAAGAGAAGGCTAGTTTAACAATACTAGCAGCCCTCAGTTAGATGGCCAGAGAAACCAGACATTGTCCACAGCTGTTTTACTGTGCTCCTCTAAAATGGGCGCACAACCGAGGGAGAGGTACCTCAGATAACTCTTCCTAGTATTTTAAATGCTTGGCTGTCTAGAGGTCTTCCAAGCAAACCCAAATGAACCACTGACTGCAAAGGTGTTCACCTAACCCAACCCCAATCTTTGCTTTGCTGAACAGTTAGGTGAAAAACACCATAAAGCGAATGCAGGAGGTGGGTGTTGAGCAGAAACGGAAAGTTGGGGAAAAAACTGTTGCCATCAATGTCACATCTCCCCTCCCATCCCAACCACTAACCCTTACAGAGAAGCAGGAGATGATCCAGTTTTCTAAGACAAATGGCAACAGGCCGCATTGGGAAATCATAAATAAAAGACCAAATGATTTTAGAGAAATCAAGAGAGACAAGCTAATCTTACTACCCTGGGAGATAACCAGTCACACACCCTGTTTGCAATGATTAATAAGGGAACCTGGCGTCACTTAAACCAAAGTGCTGACTTCAGTGACGCTTCCCTTTTTTGGCATGGAGGGATTGAAGGGACTAAAGCAGATACTTTCAGACTCCTCAGTGGTTGAGAGGCTCCCTAAATTATAAATGAAAATCAGAGGGAAGGGAAAGAAAAAGCAAATGCTAACTCCATTTCTCTGGGAGAAACAAAATTTCACAGAACTATATGCCTAACTACTTGTTTCTACTCAATAAAAAGCCCATTTAGAGATCACAGAACTGAAACACAAAACCCCAAAAATACCAACCTGAGAGTGCCTGAAAAAAACCTCATCATTTTCAGTTTCTTTGCTACAAAAAAACAAAAACAAACCAACATATTACAAATACAAAACCAGATTTGTCTTGTAACAAAAACAAGCAGGACTTCCGCACACACAGGTTTTTAGATTCTTGCTACTGCTGCACACTTACTAATTCATTCAGTAAATGAAGGGACGCTCTGGGCTGCAGCACTTCAGGCCGCTAAACTATGTATTTTTGCTTCCTCTCAGGAGCTCTTTGTGAAAAATGTGTCATTTAATTCCAGTGCCCTTAATCCAAATCAATACAACTCTCCCAATAAACGTAACTGTGGAGAGACATTGTCATCTCAGGCGAGCAGAGTGCGGCTGTACAGCTCTCACAGAAGAGCGAAGCACAAGGAAAAGGGTTGGATTCCCAACCCAGAGTCCAGGTGAGACAGGCCCTGCAGTCCCCTGCGTGGAGCATGCTCGTTCAGGTGCTTCACAGCTGACTTTCAAGTCTGCACCATCAGCACCTTCAGTGCCATTCCTAACAGGCTGGGAGAAGAGTCTTGGTGACATATGCTGCTGGGCAGAGCCCACACAACATATGCAGTGCCTCCATACAGTCCCACTTTGAAGCTAACATGGTGGGTAATGCTGTTCTGCAGCATAACTAAATGTCACCCTCATAGTCTGTGGTGGAAGATCTCTTAGGCTGTACTACAATCACAGGGAAAATAAAACATATGTATATGAAAAAAAAAAAAAATCACCTTTCTTCAGATAAAATTTCCATGTCATCAGGTGCTGTTCTGTCTATAGGCCTGGATGAGCTAAAGCTTTCCATACTCTGTAATACAGTAAATGTTAAAGCAGTAAGATACATAAGAGAAACAGATTCAAGCTGCAGGCCATTAAACAGATCAAATATAGAAATATCCAACAGGACTTCTAGAAACAAGACAACAATCAGACTACTGCCTGCTGCACATCTATAACGAAACAAAACCCACACTTTATTGCCCATAACCTGCAAAAAAAACAACTGCTCACTGCTTCATCTCTTTCATCAGACGACCTCAAAATGTCTAACAGAATAATGCTGTACGGTACCCCATCAGTTCCCATTTTACAGACTGTCTGACAGGCTGAGCTTGAGAGCAATTCTGTGGTGTCTACAAGTCCTGTAAGAGTGGGTACCAAAATCCACAGCATCTTCCCAGCAGGACTCCTTATGCTCATCTTAGAAAATACTCCCCTTCTCAGCCAAACCCTTCCATAGTTTCTTCTTAAACGGGCAGAAGACTGCAAAGAGACTGCCATATGCACAGAGGTAACGTTAAGTAAGCTAATACGAATGCAGGGCAAGAAATGCAACTGGTTATGACAACTTGTTCTGAAATTTATCTTGGCTACCATTAGGAACATTAACGCCGTTGTCCTCTAAAGAGCTTGAGAAAGTACTGTGAAGACAAGCCATGTTGCCACTTTGGGCACACGTCCAGGAGGTTTTCTACCCTGTTTTTTGGGCAAGTCCCTCTTAAATAGGAGGAAGTCAGTCAGTAGAATGGAGTATGGCTCCTGCCCTGGCCCTGGGAACCGCGTGCACAGACTTCTTGAGGCAGTCACAGCCCTCTCTCACCTGCTACAACTCCAGCCCCATAAGGTGACACAGCTCAGCCATTCCAGCCTTGCATAATGTGATTCTTCAAGTCCTACTGGTACCTGGCTACCATGTCTCTGAAATGCAGTTACAAGCTTTTAATGCTTTGTGGTCGGTTTGCTCGGGAGAGTAAGTGGAACTGACAGTTCTTCCACCGCTGGCTTATGCTTTTGAGTCAGATGCAATTAGACAGCTAAGAGGAAAGCTTCCACACACTGTCCTACATACTCTTTCAGGCCTTGAAAAGCAGGAAGGCTCAGAAAATGGTGGCTAAGAAGATAGAACATCACAAACTTGTTTACATGACGAAGGCCTATTAGTAAATGCTAAGGTGCAGGTTATGTCCTTTGATACTCCAAGTAGGTAGTCTAATTTGGGTTATTATTTGAAGTGTAAAGATGTAGCCAAAAGAAAGCTAAACCACCACACATCCTTGCTGGCAGTCTCTGAAATGCAAGTATGAAATAAGCGCACTCATGAAAACGTAAAAGCAGCCTTTGCTCTTCAAAAAGAGTATCACCATGCTGTCTGCAAGCTGTTTTGTAACAATACTCCCAGTTGACAATCCCACTGTGACACTTCCTCTAGCAAAGCAAGAACTACACTGATGGTCATCTTGGTCAAAGTGCTTTTTGTGCAAGGTTAGTCCATTTTATGTTCATTTCAGCCTTTGCACTTCAAGAGATCCAAAAATGAGGGGCAGGGCAAAGTCCAGTGGACACAGGTAAGTTTGAGGACATTTCTTCTGGGCACGTTTTAAGACTTCATGAATGTTTTTCAGGTCCACGGCAGAAGCGGACACTTCTGTCAGTCTTTCCTTTCCTTTCCCAAATCCTGAGTCAAATTCTCATTTACATTTGAACTGCTTTACACTCCACAGGTACAAAGAGGTGCAGAAAAGAGTGTAAGCACTTGACCTTTGCCTATCTTAAAGTCCATTGCTACAAGCAGACACGCAAAGCGAGAGTACGTCTATCTCACTGTGCTCTTTCATGAAGTATCACATGAGTAGGTTACTGATATTGAGCACTAAATCTAAGCACAGCCTACAATCTTTGGCATCTTGCCTTCTTTTTATCACAAAGAGATGCCAAATTTGCCTCTCTCTAGAATCTCTGCACAGCGTAAGAGCATCAGATCATTGCAATTTTGTGACCTAAACAAAATGAGTCCCAACACCATGTCACGTTAAGAAGGAACTCACTCACAGCAGGCTCTAAAACTTAATCCAGTACAACTGAAGGAAATGCCCTATAGCTTGGAAGGACAGTCTTTTCATACAGCTTTCGCTGTTACTAGTAACCCCATAATGCATGCCTGGTGCCAGGCACCGGGATGCATAGCACTTCTGCTACTGTAAGCAGACCCTGCGTTGAAGCACAGTAGTTTCTCAACTGCTGACACTATAATCAGTGTCTGGTTTGGTTGAGAGGGAAGGAAGGTGCATCAGTTTTATTCCACAGCTTGTAAAAGCTGGCAAGCTGTCTTCTACTGTGAAGGTCACACAAGAGTATGCTGGGCAAATTCTACAGCATTCCAGATTTTTAGGAGGTTTTATTGGTGTCGTTTACCTCCTCAGTAAAAGGTAGCTAGAGGGATTATCTTTTGGACCAATACACTCCAAAGTGTTTTGCAAACTGCAAACACCACAGTAACACACAGACTTTAGGGAAAAGGCATAAAACACCTTTATCATCTCATTATCAAGAAGCCACTTGCAATCTATGGTTTCAGAACTTAGCAGGAATATAAAAATAAACTTGACCTAAACATGTGAACCTACATCTGAGGTTCCAACCTCCTTGCAAGACTTTTGAAAGACTGGGAAAAGACTTACTTCCTTTTTCTCTTTCCAAAGTGTTTTGCTGAATTCAGAATAAAAAAGCAAGAAGTTGTGGAAAAAGAAAATGACTATGGATGGAGTAAGAGGATCATAGCAGAAATACGCCTTCTCAGTTTGCCTCATCACAAAGGTTACAAGTGCAGGATCCACTGTTCCCCATAGTCCAAAATAGCCACTTATGCTTGTACAGTAGGCAAAAATGGCTACCCCAGGGAACCAGATGTGCACTGAAACAAAAAAAACTTTTTCCCACCTGAGTACTAGATGTCAAATAGTACAGCGTGCCGGCTTACCACAGGACTGTCCTGGTTGTCATTAAGCTCCAAAAGCTTGGTGCTGGATTTCTGCCGTTTTGGTTTATTCCTTTCACTAAGATAACCGGAGCTGTTGTCTTGTAATTTTTCTACTTCTTGAGCAGCTAGAATACAGTCTTCAAGATTGCTGAATCCAGACGGAATGTTTTCTTTGTTGACGACTTCCCTAAAAAGAAAAGGGACATTACAACAAGAGGTTGTTTAAAACACTCTCCCGCTACATTTATGGTAGCAATAGAGAAATGCATCATGCTGACTGGTGCAGTTCCGGCAACATCTTCTACGCCCTACGAAACCAGTATCTCTGGTTCTTCCTACTGCAGCAAACAACACACACTGTGCAATGCTAGATCCCATTGAGGAGTGAAAGCCAGGTGTATAGACCTCAGGTGAGAAAGCTGTGAGGATCAACATTTGGGACTTGATTCACTTCCCACTAAAGCCAATACAGAGAATCCCATTGACTTCACATGGAAGCTGGACTAGCTCCTGGCTGTCTGTGGTATTTTTATAGAGAATAAGCAGCATATTTTCCTTTGAGACACGTGCTTTTAATTTAGAAAAGTGATTCACAGCTGCGGTCCAAGGATCTCCTTTGGTGCATGACACCGCATAATCAGCCCTCTTACTCATATTCTCAAATGCAAGAGCAGGACTGCGGTGCTTTAGCCAAATGCTTGATTCCTATTTGGGAATTACACAAAACAGAAAAAGGAATGCATCTCTGCAACGGCAACACAACTGCTAGGACAGAGGACTGTTCTGCTATGTTGGGAGGTGAATGGGACAGCTAGCTTTAAGTCATCACATGACACGCTAGCTGGGATTCTCTGGGCTAGCAGGGTTTGTACACGTTTTCCAGAAGCCTGGTGTATGGCTTATCTTGCCCTGCACAATTAGCTTGCTGTGTCCGTCAGCACGCAGTTTTCCCTTCACAACCTGTTCAGTAGTCTTCCCTCTACTTTGTGCAATAATGAAGACACACATACATAACACATCACTACACTATAGGAACAGGAGAAACACAATGCATCTCATTCTTCACCATCCTACCCTGCTGGAGGCTAAAGGCAGGCTGCTTACACTTGACATTCAAACCGGAACGTTTGCTAACTGTTGTATGTGCGGCTGCCTTATACAGTGCTGTGTGACTTCAAAGCCTGCTTTCATGAACAGCAGAATTTATCTAGACTTGCACTGGTGTGACAAGAAACCAGTTACTCTGTAGTATCTGGACAGTGCCAGCATGACAAAGTATTCAGATCAAAAACAAAACCAGAAAGTTTCAGTGATTTTCTAGAAATCTGGAATCTCTAGGTTTTGTTGGTGGAAGAGAGATACAAAGAGGTATTACAAATCTATGATTAAACTTCTAAGATAACACACTTGCCTTTGTGGAAGTTTTACAAACCCCTGAGCAGACCAATTACATATATATAGCCTGCAGATCATGTAGTCTGCAAAGCCTGGGAGTTCACGTATGTGTTTTTGCGATAAACACTCTTCCTATCTGAAGTCCCATCTTGTGACATTACAAATCCTCTTGTGATCCATCACAAGTCAAGGAGATGAAGTCACTGACAATCGAAACGACAACAGAAAGAAGTTTTGAAAGGAATTCCCAATTGTGATAATTCACCCTAAGGAGTTCTAGCAATCTGACCTAAGGGAACCAGAGAAAACAATTTGAACCGTAGCCAGCATTCAAAACTTCCGATGTGCTTTAAATCCTTGGCTCCAGCTTTACGGACCGAACCTGAACAACTGTGTCAGCCATGTCTAAAGGCAGCTCTGTAACGTAATGTTGAAAAAAAAGCCCTGCAGTACTATATGCTTCCAAACACGTACACTAGCCAGTCTCTGACCTACTTACCTGAGAAGCCTGTCAGCAGGGCTACTAAACAAGAAAAACTACTTCAGAGCTGCTGCCAGAGACTTTGGTGACTTTCAAGTATTAATTTCCCAGTCCATCTTCACAGCATATTTTCATTCACTATGGAAATGTCTTTTTATTTTGTAACTATGGATTTTTTTACAACAGTAGCATTGACACATTTTGGGAAATAGCATGGCTGCAATACTAACATGAGGTACTGATGGTTATGTGCCTGTATAAAAGTGGCTTCGTATAGGAAGGTGTAGATCCAATAGGATTTGGGGAATTCAGCACCCAGGAAAAAACAAGAAGAAACTAAATGTTTATTTTGGAATCTAACTTGAAATCCTAGCAATCCAATACCACAGTCAAGTGTACACATTCTTTACAAGAACTAGTGCTGTGTTAAAGCTAGACATATGTGTAAGCACTGATTAGATCATGGCCTTGCAAAGTCTGTAGTTACTGTTCTTCAAAGATAGCTAAGCCTTGGGCAAGTGTTTGTAAAGGCTGTGTGGTAATACATTTGTACCACACAATATATGCCACAAGTAGAGAAGTATGAAAGGAAAAATAGGTATTATTTTTACTCTTTGACAGACATTTAATGAAATTCACCACTAAATCATGTTTAAACTTTGTGTAACAGCGTGGATAAACATTCTTAAACTCTGATTAATCAAAAGGAAGATTTTTCTACTTTCAGACAAACTACCAGGGCTCCTCAGTAAACCCAAACATAAGCTGTGCCTCCACATACAAAAGGGGAACTTGATCTCACTTTTGAAGACATTCTGAATTCAGAAAAAGCATCTAAACCCAATGTTTTTATCTAAAGAAAGTTTCAGGTAACAGGGCCAACTGCTTGGGGATTTCCACTAAAGCAACAAATACTGTAATTAAACAATTCCAAATACTGTAATTAAGAACTCTACTATACTACATAAAAAAAAATGGATTCTTATCACGCTTTGCCCCACTCCATGACCTCTAATAAACTCTACATTTCCCAGCTCTAACTGATGCAATGGAGCTCTGCACAGGCACTGCAGTCTACTCTGCACTTTCAACTCAGGGCAAGGGCCAGTGCATTTCATAACAGAACTAAGCATTGCCTTGATAAGAGGACACAACTAGGGTACACTTAATCAAATATACTTTCCAAAACAAAGAAATCAGGCTCGTACATGTCTCTGTTTCTCCAGGCTTCCTCCTGCTCTTTGTGGTGTCGCCTCCTCTGCCTGGCAGACACATTAGAAGAGGCTGAAGATGTTCCCGATTCAGAGTCCTCTGAACTCTGGCCGCCTGAGCCATGAACATCAAAGAGATGCTGCTCCACGGCTGAGCGGATTGTCTTCTCTAAATACCTGTCAAGCCGAAAAATAAGGTCAATTGAGCTCAAAGACTTTGTGGAGCTCCCTCTCTGCAACAATAACTAAAGCAAGGGTACCTGAGGGTTATGTTGTATGATGACGGCAAGGCAGTATAAAATGTCCTAGGGCTGTGACACCTGCAAAGAGCTAACCCAGAATCTTCAGATACCCTGATGTTCAGGTCCCTCAGAAGAGCTGAGCCTTCCCAATTCATCTTGCTCTTTTTTATTTCTAGGGATGTTTGAACCTTCAGTAAAACAGCTAATTTTACTTACTGCAACTACAGACATTGGTGTCTAACTAAATTATCCTCCACTTTAATAGTCCTTGCCCTGACAAAATTGTATTTGATACCCAGCCGATACCCATGCTGACACTGGTCAAGTCTCTTGTGCAATCCGAGCTCAGTAAGGCAATGGATCACCTGCAAGAAGGTGATTCACTGCTGTCTCACAGGGTTATGAGAACACACAAACAGTACCTCACCACAAACTCCTCATATGCTTACCTCAGTGACCAAGCACGGATTTGGTTCTGAGTTCATGCTGTTTTCGCATTGTTCTTGTACCATGAATGCACCCACAGCCACCCCTGACTTACTCTGGTGCGAGATCACCATCGTGCCCACTGGCAGTAAGAGGGCTTCCACACAAGCTACAGCAAGGGAGCCTCTGCAGTTGCATCAGTTGAAGATGTGAGACTACCTGAATTTTCAACACAACCAAATCTCCTTCATTTTGGTACTAACCTTTTCTTGTAGTATTTCCTTCCTTCCTTAATCAGAGGAAGTTTTTATGGGCAAAACCTAAATTTTTTTTTTTTTTTTTTCAAAAAGATCATTTGGAAACACGTTTTTGTACATCCCCACCCCCTCCCTGTTTCTTGCAATGCTTTAAGTAGTCTGCTGAAGAATGAGTTTTTCAAACACGCCTGTCCAAAGTCCACATATAGCTTCTAGTGCTTTTTCCATAATTAAAAAAGTTATTTGCAGGATTTGCTGGTTGATTTTCAACTGAGTAGCTATGAGTATGGGAACCTGTACCTGGGCTGACCTCTCCAGAGAATTTACAAAAGTTGTTGCTAAGTTGCTATAGTTGTAAGTCTGCTGAGACCGCAGTTCCCGAAAAAGTAAAAAGATCTTAGCAACTGCAAAAAACCCACATGGTTTAACTAGGCAAGTATGCCTGTGTTTCATGTATTGACAAGAATCAGTTCTGCAAACTCATCAGCCATTGGGAATTTCCAGCTCCAGCGAGGGAGCCAACTATTAGCTCTGCTGCTGCCAGTTATGGTAGTGGGGTCAAGCCCCGTCCTCTGCTGGGATGCAAGAGAGCGCAAACAAGAGCAAGAGGATGACACAGTGCAAATGGCTTCTCTAAACATGCAAGTTCTGCCTAACTAAAACATCACAGGCACAGTACAAGGAAAGAACCAAGGGCCTGAGAATTTTTTAGAAGGAAGTGATTTATTATCATTGCAGATGCTTTGGTTTGTGAAAGTCTTTTTTTGTTTGTGGAAGAACAACCCTTAAAGAGAAATCAAAGAATAACCAGCAATACTTTAAAAAGCTCCAATATACAAAAAAGGTAGCTACAAAATTGTAAAAGAGACACTTACTCTCCTGTAGCAGGAATGTTACTACTGACTTGTGATACGTGGGCACTGTGTAAAAGAAAAAAAGAGGAGAAAGTTAGATCTAATTATCACAGTAAGGTCTTAAAAACCCTTGTTCGTTGCAGCACTAAGACTTAAAGGTCTGAGCTGTCTCAACAACAATTGTATGCGCATACCACAAGTCTTCCTCTTAAGAAATTTTCACTCCCATGGTGACGTGGCGCATTTTGACAATGCCAATATCCTCACAAATTAATTTCCCTGTCATTCCCTTGCAGTAAGCCAAGGTCTAACGTAAAGTATTGTTGCATGTTGCAGATTTTTTTGTTTTCTGCTGATGCAGGTTGTTTTAGCCTCATCACAAAAGTCCTTGCCTTTTGAGGCTGATTTGAAAATGTATACAGTGTGAAAGGGGACTTAATATTTAAGGATCTTTAAATATTAATGGAAGACAAGGGCAAAATACAGGCTTTGCACAGTTCTCCTCCTGCCGCTCCCTGATATTCATGTTCTTTGCTTTACATTTTTAAAAATAAAATGTATGCTCTCTTCTTTCCCTTTTCCCTCAGTCTGTTTTCAGGCTCAGGAAGAGCTGATGCGACTGTAGGCGTCACTGCTTGCTGTTTAAAGCCCTTCTGAACAAGCTGACGTGCCACCTCGCAAAGCTGTCACTGCTTTCCTCCCTCTGCCAAGCTGAGTCCCATCCTGCCCCCTCTTCCCCCATGCTGACTCGGCTCTGCAGATAAGGTGACACTTTTTGCCTATTCATCCCTCCTGTGATCTTCGTTAAGCCAAATAAGTTACAGGCCTAGGGGTTTCATTTCAGTTTATCCCCGTATCAGCAGAGGATTTAGCAGCACAACTGGCTGATACATCCCAATAAAATGGCACTGTGTGGCCAGGGTATGAGCCAGGCTGCATGCAAGATGGGCTTCCTGCCAAAACAGGCATTCATTGCTTTCAGTCTTTACCAGTTTCTCCCAAACCGTTACAATGCGGAACCAACAACAGCCGACTTCCCTTCACTAACCAAAGGTTTCCTCTCTGCTTCCCTCCAATATTTTGCACTTCACCGTACAGATCTAGAGCTAGCTAAGAAGCTGCAGCACTCTCAGCTGATAACCACTCTGTGGCTTTCCTGGGTTTGAGTGTCACTTGTGGCGGAACGCAGGCGACAGAGGATGAGAAGGGTAAACAAGGGGCCACTGGCCACTACAGCCAGTTTAACAAAACCAACAGAACAGCCTAAATTCTGTAGTGAAGTACAAACCCCACAAACACCCAGCTGCAAATCAGACTCGCAATACGCTTCAGCTTCCTTTGGCTGAGCCAGTGTGTTCACCTCGGTGTGGGTAAAGCAGTGTGCCCTAACCACACGTGCGTCCCTTCCAGTCCCGGCTTCACTCGGTGCTCATCTCCAGCCCAGGCACAGGTCCCTGGAGCGGTCGCACAGCATGAAAGCAGTCATGGATTTGCCAGTATATCCCACATTACTTGCACAGCACCCGAGCAGCTGTGTCATTCAGATGATTTCATGAACAGAAGACATACAAACAAGTATTACTGTACTTATTATTGTGGACATGCAACCTGCATATAGGAAAAAAAAAATTTGCAAGATCCCTCTCTTCCCACACATAACATCTTGACTGTAACTACTGGATAGCTTTGCAATTTGAAGTGCACATTTCAAGCACCCTACTTGGTTTCCTGTTCACTTACATAAACTATTCAGCCTCTTCCCAGCCTGCAACTATTATTTAAAACCTGGCCTCCCATGGGAGATGGATTAGCAAGTAAGATTCTAGTGTGGTAGGCTAAACTACGTTATAAGATACAATTCATGTGCTGGCTACCGCTCCTACATGTGTGGGAGTAAGTTAATATTGTATCAACTTTCTATAATATTTACATGCAATCCATACTGAGCGGGGGTGTCTTTCTTATCACAACTTTCTTCTTTGTTTTCATGTCAGGAAAGTGGCAGTGGAGGGGGAGATAGGATTGTTTGGATTCTAGTTTTTTTAAAACATCCCTAGGATGTAGGTATATCTACCCATCAGACAAGATAGAAGATCTCAGGAAACAGCTCTTCCCTCTATTTCTAACAGGATTAATACTGTGCAAAAATGCAAACTCCTGTTTCACATAAACTTAATGAAAGGCTAGACACTGTACGTGAGTAAAACTTCATGCCATTAACTCTGTCTGCAGTGTTCAAGGCCAACAGTCACTATCTGCAAACCACTCGCAGCATTACTGAAAACACACCAGCTTCTCTACACAAAAAGTAGTAAAAAGAAGAAACAAAAGATAAAGCTGCAAAAATATCTAAGTAAAATGCCAAAAATTTTCCTAACACCCCAATACATTCTGTAGTTGTCTAATTCTCAGTTAACTGCGTGCTTTACTAACACCAATTCAGTTTGAAGTCCATTAACCTTGCTAATTCATAATTATGCATATCTGCGTAACAATTACTTTGTGGTATCTAGGAAAGCCCTACTCAGACAATATAGGTTCTGTCAGAGCGCCAGTAATATGGTGATTTTCAAACTACCGACAAATAACAAGGAAATATGTCTACAGACACATGCTAGCTGAGTGGATGACTACAAAATGACGCTCTGACATAGTGATTTTATTCTATTTTCCTTCTAAATACTGCTTCCTTGTATACTGAATATAACTTTATTCTTAGCCCTGTGATATTTTAATGCTCTTTTATTAGCCCCATCTCAATAAGACGGAGATTTTAAATCAGAGTTTTTCCAGATACACTAACTTTCTTTTAATTCCACAACTGGTAACTTTCCTTGCTATTTCATTTTGAAGCTTAATTTAAATGTATTGCTAAATCACTTGATTTACTCTGCACCAACCTTTTTTACATCGAGGAAGTTCACATCCAAAACAAATGGTGGAGGGGAGGGAGTTACACAGTGGCTTTAGGATTTGAGCCTGCCCAGGGACACAGCAGGAGGTGCTCGGACGCGTTAGCAAACTCAGGGAAAGGCACAGCCCTGTAAGGATTGCACAGCCCAGAAGAGCAACCAGGCAGGCGGGGTGTATCCTGTGGGGTTTTCCAAACTTCTTGGGTGGCAAAAGTCGCTCTGACGTTGGAGTTATGCTTCACGGAGCAGACGAAGTGAGCCATGCCAAGAAGAGCCCTCTTGGCATGACCGTCTGTGCAGGCAACTGCCTCGGAAGGACTGCTTTGCTCAGTAAATCATCTGGACAACAGGAACTCATGTTCTGCTTCGGTTAATTATTTTCTCCTCACGTCTGCTCCAGTTCACTGATACGTACGGTCAATTATCTCCACAGCTAGATTACCTTTATTAAATTATGCAGCTGCTGCAGAGTATGCTGAGAAATAGTGACTTTCGATAGAAATTAAAGGTTCTCCTCGGTGACAGAAAGCAGCAGGAGACTTTCCCAGGGCTGAGGACTTTTACTTTCAGAGAGCCAGCCACAAAACCTGCATCAAGGCACACAGCTGTTTTAAGCACTATAAACTTTTGAACTGGCTTCCTATGACCCTCACGCTTTTCCTTTTGGGAAATCCGACCTCTAGCACTTCCCAGTGTTGTCTAACTTGTTTACCCAAGTCTTTTGCTCACTTTCAGAGGTGCCCCATCAGCTCTGGATAACGTCTTGCTTCACATGTAAGGTAAACTTACTGCATGGCCTCTTCTCCCATTCCATTTCAACCTCAAGTATGGGAAGGTGGTATTTTCCATCACCTTTAAGCACATTAAATGTCCCCTGCCCCCCCAGCTAGTACTCTCTAGGTTTAAAAGATATGCACTGGAGTGAGAATTATCTCATGCAATACCTGCACCCTGTTTGGTCTGCATTGGGCATCTTGTGACAGCAGGCAAATAACTGAGTTGGATATCAAACCCCCTCTCCTGTTTTTTTCATTCAAGGCACTATTGAGCAAAATGTATTAGCATCCAGGTATTAAAAGAGCAAAGTAAAAACATCAACCAGAGCAAACTGACTTACTGGCATAGTATTTTCCCAGATTGGGTTTTCATTTATGAAGTCAGTGAATTAATTCCTTAACGGCCTAAATCACAAGCTATACTTGCAATCTGGAACTAAGGCCACTCATTGCTGAGATTTATTTATAATCCATCTGCTTTATCCAGGAAGCAAAGCTATTTTTTTTCCCCTGTTTTTGTTTTTTTAAAAGCCAAGCACAACAGTAAGAAAGCCTCAATAGATGCACAAACTTTTTACCATTTTGCCATTCCAGCAAAGTAGAGGGTGTTTAAATGGCTTTGACATTTCAGACGGGAAATTTCCGAAGTCCTCCGGAATATGTTATTCCAACCCATGACCTAGGAAATTCCTTTTCAATAGGTACTTATATAGTCTAAACACTGTTCACTCTCCACAACTGTTGCACACTGCAACATGCAATACCGCAGACTCACATGGGATTTATTTTAAGACAACTACTTCATTTGACACTCATTCCCCAAAGAGAAGGATTGTGTCTGCATATCAAATGTGAAAATAATGAGTTTAAAAATAAAGAGATGTGCTCTTAGTTACTGGGATGTCCCATCACACTGAGGACACACTCTCAATGTCTTCTCAGCACTTCCACGCTTTCACAAGCTCAGATCCAATTATCCTTCCTTTAAATGTGGTACATTATATCTGACACTACCTTCTTACTATGCAGAAAACTAAACCCACTAAAAGCAACTGTGTTGTTTTCTTCAGGATTCCTGCTGTTTTTCACTTGCACTGGGATCACCCTTTATGACGGGTGCACACTGACACCTACTGCTTGGAGCAGAGACAACCCTGAAGGGGATTCATACATGCCACCCGATTTAGCTCGGTAAATTGGGATGGCTGTATCTGCGCAGGTTCCTCTACAGAGAAGGGAAATGCTCCTCTGGGGGCCTCAGACCGGCACAGTAGCTGGACACTGCGAGCAGGGGCGCCCAGCAGCCTGGTGTTTATTTTCAGCCAGTGCTGATGTGATGCAGGACATTAATGTGCATCACACAACATAATCATGATTTGTAAAAGGGACCAGCACTCCTGTGGACCTTAGGACCTCTTACGGCATGCCCCACTGAGGAGGAAGCACCCAGTGGGAAGGCGGCCAAGCAAATTTCTGAGCAGGCGTGAAATCTAGAACAAGATTTTTCAATTTCTTCAGAAAATTGACCTGAGAACAAACAGAATAAAACATCTTACCCAATATACTACAGGCTAAGAATACTTGACTTGCATTATATTAAAGAGAGTTGTCTCAAATAAACAACTGTTAAAAGGAGAAACAGTCAGCTGTACTGAATACTGCCAACAGGATATTAGTACTTCAAGAGAAAAGTACTAAAATAGGCAAAACTGTCCAACGCCTTGCCCTGCACTCATGGGCATCTAATGCAATTTTTGGCATTGCTTGTGATGTCAGCTCTCATCCCAATTTCAGTTTCATGCTCTGCCTGTTAACAAGGAAGCTCCACACTACAAAGCTTTTGCTTTTTTCCCCTGTAATATCACTCTGGTTTATCTCAGGATGAGATAAAACTCTCAGGTTTACTCATCAGGAAAATCCTCTGAAACCATCTACGTGACTAATGTCAAATCTAAAGCATGTACGCCAGCACGAAGCACGTCTGTAGATTCCCTGTCTTCTAAAAACTCATTGCTCACGTTGAGTAGAAGTGTGCTTACAGGGAATTGCCGTTGCCAGATGCTGCTTCATTACCTGAAACTGCACACTGTTTCTCAGTACTGATTACTCAGTACAGCTGGCATTTACAGTCTTATTACAGAATTATACAAGGAGCAGCGCTACACATTTTTTAACAATCTCAACTCCCTTTACTACAAGGTTTCGTTACAAAAGGTTTTGGAGCGTAAATGCCCTTCAGGCACGACTCCCTGAACAATCAATCACCCAGCAAGGTTTTCCTCTTCTTTTAACAGTGCAGAAATCTCCTTGCCTGGTATTGAGCACAGCTGAGTCAACAAATTGTCTTAGCAAGGAGTACAGAGAGGGAGAGGATAACCCTGGTCAGCAGCAGATGAATGGATTCAAACCCCAGATCTCACAAACTGGTCAAGCCCACCTCATCCTTGCAATGCCCAACAAAAGAGGGCTCCAGCTACAAAATTTCTAATTTTCCACTCAAATTTATTCATAGCCTGTTTGTACACATATTCTCTTGCATCAGTATTGTTACTTAACATAAACAATCCTTCCCCTCTGTCTAAAACCCAGAGGGAATATGTGTACTCTGGTTCATTTCTTATGGCAAATAAGCCTTCCCTGCTCTTTTCTCCATCTTGTAGCAGGGTGTGCCCACTTCTTTAGTCATCTTCACAAATCTAATGCCATTAGAACATGAGTTACTGAAACTGTATGAGGCCTCATCTGACTCTTGTACAACAGCATCCATACTTCCTCTAAGTATACTGAAAATACTTCACTTTATATATCCACTGTCATGTGATTACTTCAACTTGAATATTTTCATCCCATGCCTCCCTTCCATCCCTCCACAAACAAGTATGCCCACGTCCTTTTCTTCCCTGGCATTTCCAAATGTGAGGAACTTCCCTTTCATGTCATCTATTTTCATTATTAGTCCTGAAATGCATGACTTTATTACCTATGTTGTTATTTTTCATCCTACATCTTCTATTTCATGCTTATCTTTATATATATATATCTATCTCAATCATCCTATATCATATCTCACTGTCATATATTTTGTCCCAGAGGACACCCCCTTCCCATTCACCCTTCCTAAATTTCTGCTATAAGCTCAAATTCATGAGCATGATTCTATTTTATTATGCCAGTGGCTATTAAAGAAAAAGAGTCCATGACACTTAAGGAGCTCCACTAGTAACCTCCTTCCTCTCCTACCAGCAATACCTATAGGTCTCACCCCCTCCCTACCCATCTTTAAGTTCTAGTACTAATGCCCATTTTCTTCATACAGATGGCATGATATAAAGCATTTTGCTGACATCAGACAGATTAGGTATACTCCTTTTCTTCCTCTCTCTCCAAAGTCTTATAAAAAATAATTTGGTTGTACCGGTATCACCTCTTGACAAACCTATGTCACATTTTGCCTCATTTACCGCTTACTCTCATACTGTTAATGACTGCTTATTCCTTACAGAGCAGCAATGGTGATTAATTCTATACTTGGTCATGACTTTCCCAATGTCTAAAGAAAAAAAACCCCAAACAAATCCACAACCCTAGATCAGTGCCATTTTAAGAAACAGTGTATTGGTGGCATTCTGACAGTTCTGACAAAGTTAAGACCTCAAACATTTGCCTTATTGTTAAAAATAACATCCAGGGAAACATTTCCATTGCTAGCTGACATGGTACAGCACTGAAGAATCAAGTCTCTGGTTTGATCCTACCAAAACTGGTTTACAGAGGGACACAATGCTCCTTCAGTCTGGCAAAAGCCAAGTATTATGCAGCGTTTGGAAGCTAAAGAGCTCTTGTTCCCATTTAATTAACTCATTGCATAATTATCTATATGGAACTACTGTATAAACGCAGCAGCGACCGCTCTGTACATACACATTCATGATTCAGTTGAAGGATTACTTGAACAGCATTTCAAACTACGTAAGTGTGGCTGCTAGCAATACAAATAGATTTGACCATCAGAACACCAAAGCAGACAGTCTCCCCTTCCTTTTCCATGGTGTGAAACGCAATTCCGACATGTGTCATGCACAGCTCTGGGGCAACAATTAGAACATTCAAAGTTGCACAGAAAAAAACTGGCCACCCACTCAAGTCCTCAGTTGTTGAAGCACCATGAGTTGCCCAGCCAGCACCAGCTCTCCTGCCAAATTAACTGCACTTGGCAACTGACCTCAGGAGTACACATTTTTGACGTCTGATAAATAGCAAGACTTACAATCTGTTAGCTTTATTTACAAGCAATTGTGTCTCAGCAATGTTACAAAAGACGCAAGCTTGGCATGAAGCCTTGTGTTGCAAGGTGTGCTGCTCCCTCTCTGCTCCTACTAGCCATTTCTTCACTTTCCAACTATGTGTTTATTCCTGACTGTTCCCTTGCTATTTGCAAGATATATTCCCCCGGAAAGCCATCCCTTCATTCCAATGGACACACTCATTCTTTGTTCCCCATCCTAATATGCCCACATCTGTATTTAAAATTTCCAAACCTGCTTCCTCGCTCTCAGAAATGTCCTGCTTTGATACCAGTTTGCTCAGGTCCACTCTTTGCTCCTCATCTCCTTGGCAATCCTGACAAGGTCAGCTGAAGAGAATCTCCTTCCTGAATCATTTTTCCATGATCCAGGAAAGGGCTTGGAAGGACAGCTTTAAGCAGTAAGACAGATAGAAATGTAATGAAAGCCTACAATCATTTGAAGGTCACATCTAGCCAGAAAGAAAGAGGGGGACCATTTTCAATGGAAAGACAGGATGAGGATTTAAACTGGGGAAAACTTGTGACAGGAGAATGCATGCAGCTACAAAATAATCTCCCAAAGGGAAAGGCAGAACCTTCACGGACAGTTTGGAGCTTCTGAAGCACAGACTAGGCAACATCTGCACAAATACACTGCAGGGAATGATGGTAAATCAACAGGAACGCAGACAAGACCATGCAACCAGGCCAGTCCATGAACAGTTCACTGACCCACATTTCTGCACAGTTTTAATGCAAGTCTCCATATTAGGAATATGCATGAAATGCACACTTTCTGTAGTTCATGTTAGAAAAACTCTCTAAGAAAAAACCCAAGCTGCAGAGATAAATAGGAATATATGCAAGAGAATTAACAAATTTAAGAGATCACTGTAAGAATTCCAAATACCACTGCTCTCACAAAAAGCACCACAGGGATTTCTTTTTCTTTGTTTAAACTCCACAGAGATCAAAGAACCAAATTATAATATCTGGCCCTTCCTCCTCTGCAGCCCTTCACTGTTAATTGCCCTGGCTCCTGTTCTTCCACTAAGTATAAATGAAAGCACTGGAATTGAGCCTGCTACTGAAGCAAGCAGAGCAAACTTTCACTGATGTCAACAGAATTAGGCCACTTTTACAAGCAGTGACTTTGCCCTCCAGTTGGCGAAACAAGAAACGCAATTTGTTCAAACGCAGCGCGAGCGCCATTCCCTCCAGGCAGGCACGCTGGGGACCCAGGCACTCTCCTGCTTTTCTGGGCTGCAGCAGAGGAGCAGTTGCTGTATGGGCTGCTGACTCACCATCTGGTTCTTGGTTTCTTTCTGAGCAGCACACGCTGCCAGTTCTTCAAAGCTTGTGGCAAAAATCTCTCCTGTGCCCACAGATTATAAGCTACTCATGACAGGCATCTAAGCTGCATAACGAACTGACGAAAAGAGGAAACAAATGTCCATCTTCTAATTAAGAATTTACAAGACTGGCATTAAACCCTGAGCCTCACCTCTAACTACAAAAAAACTGCAACAGAGTTTGTATCTCCGAAGACTCATTCATCCCACTAACTGAGCAATAATTACGAACTTAACATTAATCTTCAGTTTGATTACAGTCTGTTCAGCATTTCTTGCATCACTCCCCACATTTAATTCCAATAACAAGTCAATCCCACACAGAAAAATAAATTAGAACAATTGAGTAAATACCTCACATAGAAGGGTGACATAGGCCGCTCATCTTCTTGGGAGCTAAAAACAAAACATATTTTTTAAAGTTAGTATGCAGCTCCGTCTTGTATTTGCAGTTCAAGATACTCACTCTTAAAAAGCAGAGATAACAAACGTGAAACAGTTCACCTGTTACAGAGGTAACACTTATGTCTACTTTGTCCTCTAGTTCTACTCATGGAAGAAAGCTTTAAGTAACATTCCTTAAATGCTGAGAATCCAACTCATTTCTCAGTGTCCACCAACGTGGTGTAACAGATCTCCTGCTAGATGGCCAGGAGTCACTCCGGCTCTGCAGCAGTGCAAGGACTATTCCCATAGCAACAATAAAACATTTTGCCAGCAAAACCACCAGAGCCTTTTGCTGTCCGTTGTTCCAAAATTAAACCACCTGCCTATTAAAGCAAAATTCGAGAAAAAAACAAATGACATCTTGAGACACCAAAGAAATGGCCATGGGTGTACGCATGAGGCTACGAATGGAAGTGGAAAGGTTAAGGAGTATCCGGAGGATCCCCTCTTCTTGCGTCCAGGTAGAAAGAGGGGACCTAAGTGACGGGGGGGAATGGAAACAGGTCCCCGGGGTGCCAAGCGAACCCCCCCC